AATCGCCTGGTGTCACTGTGACCGCAGGTAACTCAAAGGAAAGGATCAGGAGCTTTCTCCAAGCCTTGGTTCCCCCGGTGTTGTTGGACCACAACACCCATCATCCCTCACCACCGCTCCTGCTGGCTGGGGATGATGGGAGTTGTAGTTCAATAACATCGGGGGAACCAAGGCTGAGAAAAGCTGCAGGACATGGGCAACATTGACTGTACCTAGTTTCTGTAGGAAGAAGGTCAAATTGATTGCTGCAGGGTATCTGGATGTTATCGCCGTCGTAACATTATGCAGACTACAGCAAAAGGTGTTGCGTTGCTGCTTCACACGGATGGAGTTAGAGGTATAGGTAATAAGCGTTTGTCCACTCATGGTCTGGATCCACCTCTCTTGAGTGGTATTAACTTCAAAGGACATTATCACCTAAGAAAGATAAGTGCCTTAGAAGCAACTCAAGAATCATGAAATGTTCAGCTCCAGCAAAGAAAAGGAAGTGTCTGATTAGCGAAATTATCTTTCAATTTAGCTCTGCACTCATAATGCAGTTGTGGACTTATCAGTCCATTTTACCATATTTTTCCTTGTATAAGATGACCCGTTGTTTTTTTTTAAAACCCAAAATTGAGAAATTAGTATTTCTTGAGTTGTTGAGCTTTTTTCGACATTCACCCACCGGGCGATGCCCACCAGCCACTGCATTCATTATCCGTGTATAAGATGACCCCAAATTTTTGCCTGATTTTTTTTTAAAGCAAAAAACAACATTTTATACACAGAAAAATATGGTAAATGAAGAACGACAAGAATGACCACACATACCTGGATGGTTTCTGGGATATATGAGCGTAGCAACCATGACCATTTGTGATTAAAGTTCCCTGTTAAATTTATCCTCCTTTCAACTGCTTGTATTTGCCCTCTAACAATTATCCAGCATGAACCATACTGAATCTTCACTCTCAAGTTCTTAACATCCACCAGCCCAGCCACAGCCTGTATGGAAAAAAGCATATGTGTTATGAAAAGGATGGAGAGTTTTCACGCAAGAATACTCATTGCAAAGTATTGGAAGACACAAGATCTACCCACTCTGGAAGAATGGCAGATGAAGGTGATCGACTACATGGAATTGGCAGAAATGACTGGCAGAATCCGAGACCAGGGAGAAGAGTCGGTGAAAGAAGACTGGAAGAAATTTAAAGACTATTTACAGAAATATTGTAAAATTAATGAATCTTAGAAGGATGTTGGATAGAAACTAAGTGGTTTCCAGCTGTAATGCTTAAGAGATACGAAAAAAGGTTCATAAATGGGTAAAAGCTTAATGGTAAGGATTTGCTGAACTAATAAACTGAACTGGAATACAAAAAAGGGAGGTACGAGGAGGTCCGGGGAAATAAGTGTAAGGAAGATAGGCTATGGAAAATTAATGTGTTTTTAACTGTTCTTATTTTGTATGTTTCTTTTTATTTTTCATTTCTTTGTTATATTTTCTTGTGTTTTTACTTTTTGTTTTTGTGTAATTCTTGTATTCTTTGAAATTTTAATAAATATCATTAAAGAAAAAAAGGATGGAGAGTTTTCACTTCCAATTTGATATATAATGAATTGGGGGGGGGGGATGTTTAAAATAACTTTTGTAAACAAAAAAACAAACACAACCAGAAGCTTTTTTTATTAGGAATTGTAGGTACCAACATTTCAAAGGACCAGAAAAGACCATTTTTGCGACAACAGCTGCACAGATGTTACTAGCCCAGAGATGGAAGATGACAAAGTCCCTACCAGAGAGGAATGGCAAACCAAGCTGTTGGACTATGCTAAAATGGCAAAACTGACTAGAAAGCACAGGAACCAAGAAGACCAAAACTTCAACAGTGAATGGGAAAAATTTATAAATTATCTAGGAGACCACTGTAAGCAGATGAAAACATTACCAGGATTTTAATAACGCTTGTAATGTAGTGAATATTACGGAGAAATACAAATATGGATTATGAAATAATATGCAGTTGAGAGGGTGTACAAAAGGACCCATGAATAGGGAAAGTGGGAAGTCCAGAGATCTGGAGAAATCTCTAAATGTAGATATGTAATTTGAATTGTTATAATTTTATATTTGTAAAACCAAATAAAAATTATTATAAAAAAGAAAAGGATGGAGGGTTTTACATCTCTCTCACACACACTCACCCACCCACCCACTCCCACACTACACACACACACACACACACTGTGGTTTGTTGGTTTCTTTGCAATTTTAGCGGATTTAAAGGATGTCAGCTCACATCCACACCAGACATTTACAGCACATTTAAAGCATTAGGCTTCCCCAAAGAAGTCTGGGAGCTTTAGTTTACCCCTCACAGAGCGACAGTTCAGAGCCACTTCACCTCCCATGATTCTTTGAATGGTGAGGATGTGACCTGATTCGTACAAGGCAGCCAAGTTAGGCTGCTGGACAAGCATGTCTATACACAAACAAACAAAACCCCTACCTGCAACTCTATCCTGTCTTCTATCCACAGTGCTTGCAAAGTTTCTAGATTATGTGTGAGCCTGTAGTCAAGAGAGATGTGGTCCAGCTTCTGTGTAAAGCTCAGTTCTTCTGCGATCTAGGTTTTTTAAAAAAAAAAAGAGGAGAGGGGAAAGGAGAAATGCATTAGTAATACGGGTTGTGTGCCCTGAACAAACACTGTTGCTGAAATTAGAAGTCAGCTGGAAGAGAAATGGGGCCAACCCAGACGTTTTGCTGCTTGAAGCAAAAGACCAGTTAACATACTCCTCATTATTCCAGGGGTCTTCAATTAGTCCAGACCTGAGGCCCAAGCTGCAACATGGGACCCACTTTCGCATGTGATTGATAATTAAAAGTGCTAATTAAAAGTGCACTACTAATCCTAAAAAGGCAACCCACACAGTAGTATATGCAGTGTTTCCTCAGTTTTACTACTAAATGAAAACTAGTCCCGCAGTGCGGCAGGAAAAAGACTTGAGCACGTGGTTGGCCAGATATATGATTTCATTTTAAAAATGCCTCTGTTTTGAGTGTTACGCTTCCGATTTGAATGCCACACTTCTGTTTTGAGTGTTACGCTGAGGTCTGTCTGTTTTTGCTATTTATTTTGCATTTTTGTGGCTCTTTTTGTTTTGTTTTTGTGACTGTGTGGAACCCAGTTCAGCTACTGATTGTGTGGCTGCAGTACATTGTTTATTGCTTTTATTTTATGGGTCAATGGTCTTGTTAGATAGCAAAATTCATGTTAAGTTGCTGTTTTAGGGGTTGTTTTTAAAAGTCTGGAACGGATTAATCCATTTTGCATTACTTTCTACGGGAAAGCGCGCCTTGGTTTTGGAACCCTTTGGTTTTGGAACGGAATTCTGAAATGGATTAACTTTGAGAACCAAGGTACCGCTGTAATGGTTTTTATATGTTGTTTTCACTAATAGATGCATTTTAAGGCACCCTTTTGCTTAATGCCTTTTAAACGTGCTGGGTGTGTGTGTTATTGTTTTAACTATTTATTTTGTGCTTTTATCCTGTATTTTTATCTTGCGAGCCGCCTTGAGATCTTTGGATGAAGGGCAGTATATAAATTTTAATTATTATTATTATTGCACACATTATTTGGATATATGCTACTAAAAGGGAGGTGCGGTTACCTGCTTGTCATCCACGCTGAACTGAAGCCACCTCTTACAAATGGTGCCATTCTTTTCTGAAATTAAATCCACTACCGTCCTGGCAGGTATGCCTAAACGAAGGCTCCTTTTGATATTATGGGTCAGCAACGCATGCAGCTCTTGTCTGGTCTGTGAGAAATTGTATCAAAGAAGATCAGGTGAGGAGTGTGGGAAAGGCCCGTTTGCCTACTGTCCTGGGCATGGGACTGGCCACAGTGAAGAGACACAGGAGGCCTGCAGTAAAATGTTGCAGCATGGAGGGCTCCCATTCCAGGTTCCAACCTGCCAGCCATATCACTTTCCAAGATATTCCACGCCATTTCCCTCTCCCTTCCAGGTTTCTTCCCCCCACTTCCTTTCAGGTGGGTGTAGTCTACTGTGGATGCCCCTTTTGTAACCATCTGAAGCTCCCCATTGGCTTTACTTGCACATGATGCTAAGACATAGTTTGTTTTAACCATGGCTTGTTCAACAAACTACAAGCCGTCGCACAGATAAGCAAATGAGCCATGGATCTATCCCCACCAAAGTTTCAGCTAGATCTACACAGCTAAAAAAACAACAACACCACTCTGAAAACGCTCTGCAAAAAACCATTGTAAAACTCACAATTGAAAATATCACTGAGTTGTGACTTCAGCTCTGGTGTCACATTTATAACGCTGTATTTTGACTAACGTAACTGAGTCTTTGGTTCGTTTCTCACCTGCCTTGCACCTTTTTAGCTTAGTAAGTGTCTGGGGAGGTACAGCAAATAGAAAAACAATCACTTAACATGTCAGCTTGATTACTTACAGCCATTGCTTTTAAAACGAGGAATCCATGTAAACTATTTTCACCTGCAGTAAACAATGCTTGAGAATCCAGGTACGTTTTGTTGATTAAAATATGCCCTGACCCATCTATTTTCACCGGGACTCCAAGATCCTGCCATGAAATAAAATATTCAAGTTAGCTTCATAAAAAAGGGGGTTTAATAACAGTGTCTTAACATGGCCTGAAGCTGGTTCATGGAGTTTTACTCCACAAGAAGATGGAAGCCAACTACTCTTCCTCCTAAATCTCCAACGGCCTGGAATTTATGTGTAAGCGATTCAAAGTGGAACTGTGCACTGTGTCATCATTGGCTGGATTGTGCCTTCCACTTCTCTAAGGAGGGGGAAGAGCCAAGGCTCAGCGATAAGAATCACCTACCGCCCGTCCTTGACATCTCCAGGTAGGGTTGGGAGAACCCCCTGTCTGAAACCCTGAAACTCCCCGTCAATGTACAGAGCTAGATGGACCAATGGTCTGGTAATATAAGGCAGCTTCTTATGTCCCGAGGAAGGGTTACAGCTCAGTGGCAGATCATCTGCTTTGCATGTAGAAGGTCACAGGTTCAATCTCCGGCATCTCCAGGTAACGCTAGGAGAATGCTCAGAAAGACCTGGGAAAGACCTCTTCCTAGGACCCCAGAGAACTGCTGCCAGTCCTGGAGAAGATGAACAAACAGGCTGACCTCATATAAGTCAGCTTCCAGATTCATGCAAAAGACTTAATCTGGATCTTCCAGGTTTGGAATCTGGCAACATGTCCTCTTCGTCTTTAGAAAGGTCTTTAGGGATTACGGCTTGGATTTGTTCTGTTTTTCATTGTGTGTGTCTACAGATGGAGCACCTGCATCATAATCAAATGGAGCATCTTGTCAAAAGGGGACGTCCTTTTCCACGGCAGGCAGTACCTGTATTGCTTTGCAGTTGTTCTCTACTGATCCTTGCTGTTGGAATTGGTTTTCTGCATGAAAGGCCAAATTGGTTTGGAGTTGACGAGGGTTTGACTCAAGGTCTAAGCTAATGTCATGCCTGATCTGTTTTCCCACAATTTACCGACAGCTCATTTTCTTCTGGGATCCCTCTTGGGGTGACAGACCATGTGGCACTTCAGTTTCTAAAGTGACCTTAGCCTGGCGCTTGATCCTCACTTCAAAGTAAGGGCGCTCCCTGGCACCCATCTGTCTGAACGGATCCAGTCAACGGTGAGATGCAAAACGCATTTCACAGCCTGTAAAACCCATTTGGAGGCTACTGTATCAGTGTCAAACGTTCTTCTTCCTGGGTACGTCTTGAGAAACAAAAATGATTTCATTTCAAACGCAGGGATCAACAGATTGTAACTCTGTCCCTCTGGCCAAATTTCTCACAGATTTTTTTTAATCTAACAGTGATTATGCAGGTGAGCTGCCATGAGACTCTTAAAAAACAAACTTAAAAGCTGCAGCTTTAAAGGGGGTAAGTTTGATCGGAGAAGTGGCTAGGGCTAGGAGAAAGATGTTATCCTATTTGCATTTAAAGCCAAATCTATCAAATTCATGCTTTCGATATACATATATATATATATATATATATAGCCGAAATACAACCATCAATCAAGATTCAAAATGTGATTTAATCTGCTAGCATCTGTACACAGGCAAGACCTTTTCCTCCTCCTCTTCCTTTCATTGTTCAATAAAAGTTGGGTTTTTATACACAATTCATAACTTTATAATGGTATTCGCTTCATTTGAAAGCCAGTGGCAGGCACACCCATCCCCTGACTGGTTGTCAAGAAGGCAGGCAGGTGGGTCCTGGCTGAGGTCAGACTGAGGTTATTGGGGCCTGAATGGGCCAACCTCCTGCACTGGTACCATCCCTGGCAATCTCCTGTCTCACATCACCATCCACTGTGCTTCTTCAGGGATGGCATAATGCAGTGGTTCTCAACCTGTGGGTCTCCAGATGTTGTTGGACTACAACTCCCATCATCCCTGAGCTCTGGCCTTGCTAGCTAGGGGTGAGGGGAGCTGTAGTTCAACAACATCTGGGGACCCACAGGTTGAGAAAGGCTGGCCTAATGCAATATTTGTAATATAAATGTAAATAAAGACCAACACTTGTGCCGTTGAGTGAATGGCAGGGTCTGCCTTTAGGTGTAAGACAGCGCTCTCTTTTTTTAAAGATCAGATTGATTATCTGAAAAATAATCAAGCCAGTTTCTAGAGTGCCATATTTTGCTTTAGAACCAGAAAGGAACCAGGTACGACCTGCAAAACTGTACAATCTGTTTCCATCTCCAGGAACCATTCAGTCTGGTTTCGGGGTCTGATTTCTCCTTGTGCTTCAAGCTTGCAGTTTCCGTTGTGCAGCAACAGAAGACCGTTGAGGACGGAGCCATTTGTTACGGAGAGGTAGAGTGAGTTGTCCGGAGGCAGCCCTAGATCGTAGAGGTAGGGGAAAGAGTGACCCAGCGATCCTTGCACGGTATATTTGTCTACAGAAGACACCTCCAGCTGCACATCAGCTGTTTTGCCATCACACCAGAAGTGTGTTGCTAAACTGACATTGTAGATGTTCATGAGGAACGAACCCCTGGAGACTAGTTTCTGGGGTAACTCCATTTTCTAGGAAAGAGAAAAGACAGGGGAGAGCTCAGTTTAGTCTTAACCTATGTAGAATCTATTATCCAGAGCACGAGTTGCCAACCTTTTACGCCCCCGGGGAATTTCGGATATTTGAGGGAGTACTGTGGGTGCCACTCTCACTTTTTGCCCCTCTCCCAGATCAGCCTCGCCCTCCCCACAATCAGGAGATAGAAAGAGAGAAACTGTACATGGATGCAAACACTTTGCTCTTCCAAACGATCTGGTAAAAGTTGGCTCCAGAAGAATTAGTCCGAGCCTTGAAAAGAACACAAAGCTGAAAGAGGAAGTGGGAAAGGGTATACTGTATTTTTCGCTCTATAAGATGCACCAGACCACAAGACGCACCTAATTTTTGGAGGAGGAAAACAAGAAAAAAAATATTCTGAATCTCAGAAGCCAGAACAGCAAGAGGGATCGCTGCGCAGTGAAAGCAGCAATCCCTCTTGCTGTTCTGGCTTCTGGGATAGCTGCGCAGCCTGCATTCGCTCCATAAGACGCACACACATTTCCCCTTACGTTCTAGGAGGGAAAAAGTGAGTCTTATAGAGCAAAAAATACGGTAACTCTTCCAACTTCCTCCTTCAACTCTGTACTTTTTCAAGGGAGAAAAAGGTAACCAATCTCAACACCCCATGACAAAAGGGACAGTGAGAAAGCTAAGCAGGTGTGGGTGGGGTTCAAAGACCTCATGGGCATGAAGGGAAGACCTCAAGGGCACCCTGAGGGGCCTGCTGGTGACCCCAACTCTAGAAAATATGCTCCAACCCATCAGTTGGGGTGGCGATAGTAAATAATCACCTCCAGAAGGTCACATTTATTTAGAAGAATAACTTTCCATTCTGCGGCTGTGACTTCACCCTCTGTATTCACTTCTCCATTGCCTGTTAACTTGCATTTCCCAAGAGTGGCCTCCAGAAGGCCTTTGTACTCGTCCCCTTTCACAGCAGCTGCTTTTATCCTGTTCTCCTGGGAAAGACCCAGAGAGCTGAGGTAAGGCCAGGCGTGCCTGAGGCCGATTTCCAAACTGTGCTGAGGGTTGCAGGCAGCGTGGATACGGAACTGAGCAAAGGTGGCGTTGGAAATGACCTCTCCAACCACGTCGGCTGTGCAGTTGGCAGTCCCCACTGACCCGCTGAGCAAAACTCTCGCCGGTGCCTAAAACAGAGAAGAACGAGGCTGTCGGCTCGCCACAAACAGCGGGCGGCATGCTGATCTGGAAAGATGCGCTGTTGTCTTCTGCCATGCACGTTCTAAAAGTGGGGATGAAATCCGGCCCCCCATGCCCATTGATACGGCCCTTGAAACTGTTAGTTTCTGTTTGCCACTAAGCAGCTGCTTGGAGTCCCAGGACTCTGTTTACATTCCTGGGATTCCATACTATTGGAAGTCTCACGGGAGACTAGAGATGGATGTGACGTTAGTAGTTTCCTGTTTCCTTTGTTCAGTTGCTCTCTGCTTCCATAGAGAGAGGATGTCTTTTCTGACTGCGTAGCTTAGAAATAAAACTCTTTACAATGTAGCCCAAACCTCTCATCTCTTCCCTGTGCTGGGAACTCTGCTTAATGGATGGAAACGTGCCTTGGAGCCTCATCAAAGGCTCGAGGTCATTAATTATTCGTCGGAGGCGATTCCGGAGACTCAGCCGGAAAATGGAGCTTTATCAGCTTGGCCGAGTGGAGATTCCGACAGAAACTCCCTCCAGGCAGCACTTCCTCGCCCCCAGCACTCCCTGATGTTGATTCCTATTCTAAGTGATTTTGCCTGTCCTTGCACTCTGATCACACCTCTTGCTTGCCTGGATAGAGGTTAGAGAGGGGGACGTCTGTGGAACAGGCAGGAATGCAGTACAGATGAAGAGGCCCAGCAAAAAAGGCCTTTCATGATCTGGCCAGCAGAAGCTCTGAAGAAGCAAAAGATGTCCTTGTGATCGGGACATGCTTCTTTCTACCTGGAAAGAGGGGCAATGGCTGTGAACGGCGAGGCTCCATGCTGCGCCAGGCCTCCTTCTGAACTGTCCCACACCTGAAAGCCTGCACAGCCCGCTCATCAGTTCCAAGCTCAGGTCTGCTCTGTTCTCCAACTGGGAGACTCCACGTAACCAGTTCCTGGCTGGGAAGCTGGCCTTAGTCCATGCTGGGACACGGTGGCTGAGCAGCCAATCCAGCTCCAGTCTGGGTCCCCAAGCACCCACTGCTACCATTTGCATTGGCTTCCCATCCACAGTGCAGTTAATTTGGGCTCTTATGGAAAACGCATCAAACACCAAAATCCCATTGCTTTGCACCTCTTCTGGCACAGACGTTCCTCTCTGTTCCTGCTCCTCCCAGTGGTGTAACCACACCCAAGTGATCTCTGGCGGGCTGCTCTGCAGCAGGAATTGCCCGCTCGCGATAAGGCAGTTTGGACCGCTTTCCATGTCTAGCTTACAAATGAGGCACATTTTTCGGGTTTCACCTGTCACTGCCAGAGAGAACCTCCTGCTGCCTTGGCTTCTAGGGCAACCCCACACTTTGGGGTGCTACCCCACTGCAGCCAGGAAGGAGCCCTCACATTTTGCTCTCAGTTTAAGCAGCCCGAGCCCTCGGTTGCTTGAAGATCTCATGCTGCCTTCATAAATGCATTTATTTGTACCGTAGACCCCTCTCACCTCTGCTGTGAGCATCAAACTGGGGATGTGTGGGTTCGCCAAGGAGACAAACCTACGCCACTTTAACAGGGGTTCTGCTGTCACTTCTAATTCAGAACGAACCCCCCACCCATCTGTGGTGAGATTAAACACAGTCATACACTTATTACCCATTGGATTAACAAGTGTTTTAACCTGTAAACTCCCTGGGATGTTGAGTGAGCAGAGATACGTACTTGAAAGTCTGCACCCAGAGGCCTTTCAATTCATATTTATCTCCATGCCTTAAACAACCCCCAATGCTCAGACTCTCTTTACTGCAGCTGAGCCTCCAGAGAGTGCAATGCTGTTGACCAAGCTTTGAGAATGAACCTTGTACCTCCACTGAGTGATTTGCAACCTCTCCGTGACAATGGCCAGAAAGCTGGTGAGATGTGGATTCTCCGTCACACTGGACCTGCAGAATATCAGTAAAAAAATAGTAAATTATCTAATGGCTACAGAAATGTGGAGAATGGAATTTAAGGTTGGAAAAATAAGAAACCGAGAGAACTGATATTGGCAGGTCCGCCCATCCCTGGTAAACACACCCACTCTCACACAAAGCTAAAATGAAATATAATTGCAGCAATGAGATACTTTGTTTTCTTTGCTGCAGCTCAACATTTCATAACGCTTGACTTCGGTGTCCACCCAATACTATTATTTGTCTTGCTGCCTGCTATTTAACCTAAGTCACATAGCTTACAGAACCATTTACAAATCTTACGTTCATTCCAATGTAAAGGGACCCCTGACCATTAGGTCCAGTCGCGGACGACTCTGGGGTTGTGGCGCTCATCTCGCTTTACTGGCTGAGGGAGCCAGCGTTTGTCTGCAGAGAGCTTCTGGGTCATGTGGCCGGCATGACTACGCCACTTCTGGCAAACCAGAGCAGTGCACGGAAACGCCATTTACCTTCCCGCTGGAGTGGTACCTATTTATCTACTTGCACTTTGAAGTGCTTTCGAACTACTAGGTTGGCAGGAGCAGGGACCGAGCAACAGGAGCTCACCCCGTCGCGGGGATTCGAACCACCGACCTTCTGATTGGCAAGCCCTAGGCTCTGTGGTTTAGACCACAGCACCACCTGCATTTACAAATCTTACGTTCATTCCAGTGTAAGGACACGCCAAAACAATGCAAAAAAAGTCATTATTTTGGTATCATTTGCAGACTTAACAAACCAGCAATGTGGTCAACTAACCCGTACTAATGGTGGAATGGTGTGAATCAGGAGTCCCACATCATGGTAAAGGAAAAGGGAAAACCCTGAGGTGCTATTGGTGCCTTGCTTTTCCAATTCAATCTTGAATTCTTCTTCACCAGCCTGGGCTGCCACTCTCATTGCCATCTTCTCGCTGAAATTCTAACCAGAGGGAAAAGGCTGATGTGCAGAGAAGGACCAGGCATCTTAGTGAGCAATAATACTATGCTAGACAATACTTAGCCTTTCAGCCACCCCCCCCCCGTGAACTGCCTTTCATCTGCTGGCATTCCAAAAATGGTCACAGAAACTACACATCTTTGTACCCAAAGTGTTTTTGCCTGCCTGGAATGAGTGCATGAACTTTGATCAAGCCTCTTGCTTCCCTGGGTGGAGGATGGAGAGGGGTCCCTGAAGAAAGTAGCCTACTGTACCAAAGTAATATTTACATTGGTGGCTCCACCCGCTTTTGCCTCTGGCTCCAGCCACCACTGGAATGTGACCCCCAGAAGGGAATGTGGCTCTTGGGCTATTCTAAACAAACTTTAGAACCCCTGTTCTAAAGTCGTTGAGTTATGCGCTGTTATGTACTGAGTTGAATAGGATCCAAAATGCAGCAGTCTGATTGGTCCTAGAACAATAGGACCCAGAATGCAGCAGTCTGATTGGTCCACAGGAGCCACCCAATCCAGCTCCAGGTGGAAGTGAATCTACAATCTGATTGGCCTACAGGAGAATCCCGGAATTAGCCAATCACGTGGGGCCCATTGTGTAAATGATGTAAATAAAGCAGACATTCTGGGGGAACTTCCATTCCTCCTCACCACTATGAGCTGAATAAAGAGCATGAAATCCACTCTCGACTCTGAATATATTTCATGTGCTAAGCTAGCAATTGTGTATGGGGACTTTCCAAAAATTCATATTCCAAAAATTTCGTCACCCCAATACCCAGGGATAGCCAGGGAAGAAGGAGAAGCCCAACCCCTGGAGGGGAAAGGGGAGTTCATTGCCACTGTTCTCTGGACAGGTTTAGAAGCCCTCCAGAAGAACTCACTCAATATATCAGAGAAAGGCAGGATGTGAGGAGGCGGGACTTCCTGTCTTTGAGGCAACATTTGGTTTATAAGCAACCCCTCTCCTCTAGCCATGCAAACAAAAGGCATTTCAGGGGCACATTCCAGCCAGGCAAAAGCCCCCAAGGAGGGCATGGGGCAAATTCAGCCTGGGGAGGGGCATGGCCCAGAAAAGGTCCTGAGGGCCAGAAAGAGAGATCCGCAGGGCCACTTTGGACCGGAGGTTCCCAACCCCCAGTCAACGCCATTGTTCTCCTTACTTGGTAATGGCAGGTAGACTCTATGCTGAAAGGGATCCCATGGTTCTTCAGCTCTGGAATGTTGTGGCTGAAATTTGCAATGATCTGGGCTTGAAGGGTTTCTGAAGGCCACCGCTGGGCTCCAGCTGCTGCAGCCGTCTTTCTGCTACCGCCTTGCAGCTTCAGAGTTACTGTGTGGTTACTACTGATGTGGCCATACGTGGCCAGGATGCTACTTTCTGTGGGAAGCCGAAGAGAAAGAGGGAGATTAAGCAAAGAACATTGGATGCATAGAGACACATATACAGACATGAGTCAGGACCAACAGGTAGCTTGCTTTGGGGTTTCGATAGGTGATTAGTTGTAAAGGCACATTCTGAGTCTTCAGAAGCTCAGGGGAGGGAAATCCTTTCCTTGTTGAGGGCCACATTTTCTTTGGGGTGAGCTGTCAATGGAAGCATGCTGGTGGGGAGTAGGACTAAAACAAGAGGTGAGCATGGCCCCAGTCAAAAGTGGGTCAGATACCTCTTCTCTCTTTGTCTGCCATTCCCTTTATGCCTGTTTCCTGCCATCCACCTCAAATTCCCCTAAGGTCCATGCCATGTTCCAACAGAGCAGGGATACTGAATCATATGGGGAATTCAAATGCTGCCCTCCAGACTCTCCTCAGGCTAACACCCTTTACTAGATCTGCTTCACATTCTCCTTGAGTGTTTTTGCCTTGCTGGAATTGGCCTTTGAACTCTGAAAATGCTACCACCATGCCCTAGACATCATGCCCCTATGTGAAAAACAAGTACAGTGGTACCTCGGGTTACATACGCTTCAGGTTACAGACGCTTCAGGTTACAGACTCCGCTAACCCAGAAATATTACCTCGGGTTAAGAACTTTGCTTCAGGATGAGAACAGAAATCGTGCTCCAGCGGCACGGTGGCAGTGGGAGGCCCCATTAGCTAAAGTGGTGCTTCAGGTTAAGAACAGTTTCAGGTTAAGAACGGACCTCCAGAACGAATTAAGTACTTAACCCGAGGAACCACTGTAAGCTATTGCTATTTTGGTTTTGTGCTGCAAGCCTAGAGGATTTCAGGAAAATTGTAATTTCGCAATCACAATCTGGATTCGGACCCAGGGCAGGTTGGAATGAGTCTGGATTGGGTCCAATGCAGATTTACAAATCTGGGCCACAAATTGGCTCCAAATGTTTGTGCGTGTCCATGCACAGCCCTACTAGAAGCTACTGCTTCTTTTTTTTTGGAACGGCAAGGAAAGATTTCCTTTGCAGAACTCAGAGCAAGTCAACCCCATTCATTCTTGAATCTGCTCCAAATACTGTTAACAGAAGCATGAAAGCTCATTCTCCTCGAGAGTGGCTGGCAAGGAATTAAACACTCATTCATATTCAATAGCGCCATTATGCCACTGGAAAACTAGAGAAGACTCTTCAAGGGTAGAGCCTGTACTTTGAAGTTGTAACTAAAAACACACCTGTACTTTAAAGCTGACTTCAGAACTATTATTTCCCCTCCGCTTTGAGGTTTGGGATTTTTATTCACTGAGATGGCTCCAAGCCAGCTGAAATTATTGGAGTTTTTTAAGAGTCAGTCCCCCCTCTCCAAACCCACACTGTGAATTAAATTGTACCTTAGAACTAAAAGGCAAGGATCAAAGCAAAGGTATAATGTAAAAAGCAGGCATTGTGGAAACATGGAAACAGCCTATTTCCCCTACACTTGCTTTTTTAAAAAAAGTTGTTTTAAAGGAAACTGAACATAAAGGTGGGTCCTTATGAGAGATTCAGGCACTTGCACTTCAAATTCAGTGTCTGAAAAGTGGGATGTTGTTTCATTCTTTCTCTCAAAGAATCCTGGGAACTCTCGTTTACCCCTCACAGAGTTATAATTCCCAACAACCCTTAAGAAACAAAAGCGCCCCAAATGGAAGGAGATAGAAATTTAGTAGGCTGTTTGTAGAAGTGCAGGCAGTCGCAGAGTATTTCTCAAAGAAAAGGAGCTACTCTTTCCAAATGGCATTATTGATCCCGAGAAACAGCCCAGTATTGGGTTGCATTTCATACCTGTGGTATAGAAATTACTGATGTTGTGGGCGGGCATCCCTGAGGCTCCAAGATGCTCCAGAATGATGATATTTGAGATATTAAGATGGAGAGCTCTCGTGTCCATCTGGATACTGGCCAAACCCCTCTGAATTCCTCTTCTGAGCTCGAGTTGCCCTCGGAGCTTTGCCTCTCTTGGGAAAGCCCAGCTACCATTCTGAGTCACAGCCACTGCGATGTTATGAAAGCTCTCGTTTCCAAACACATTTCTGTTCCGGATGTGCGCTCCAAACACCGACTGGTTAACCATGATGTTCATGATGCCTGTTAGACAGAAGGAAGGCCTCGGTCCAGTATATCTGAAGGAGCGTCTTCACCCCCCATCGTTCTGCCTGGACACCAAGGTCCAGCACCGAGGGCCTTCTGGTGGTTCCCTCACTGCGAGAAGCGAAATTACAGGGAACCAGGCAGAGGGCCTTCTCGGTAGTGGCACCCGCCCTGTGGAACGCCCTCCCACCAGATGTCAAAGAGAACAACCACCACCAGACTTTTAGAAGATATCTGAAGGCAGCCCTGTTTAGGGAAGCTTTTAATGTTTGATGCATTACTGTATTTTGATATTTTGTTGGAAGCTGCTCAGAGTGGCTGGGGAAATCCAGCCAGATGGGCGGGGTATAAATAATAAATTGTTGTTGTTGTTTATTCCCAAAATGAATACTTACAGCCACATAGACAGTCTGGCTAAGGCTACTTGATCCAGAATGTGACCTGATTCCCCATCCTGTCTTGGATGATGACATCCATTGGTCTCTTTGCCTGCACCAGAACAGGACTCTGATGGCAGCCTATCTTGGACCTCAGTCAAGGCCAGACAATGCCCTACCTGCTCAAGAAGGATGAATGCTTGTTCTGAACCTTGCAGTAAAGCAATACCTTCACGGATGTTGTTTTTGTGCCTGAGAGAGCCATCCAGGGAAAGGTCCTGGGGTATGACGTGCTTTAAGCTGAGAACATTGTGCCGGAGACTGCCATGGAGGGTCAGCACCAGACCCCCTTTCTGCTCCTTGGATCCCACAACACCCAGGTGAAAGGCATTGTGATTCAGCTTCACAGCAGAAGACAGCATAGCTCTGGAGGCAAGAAGGAAGGCAATGCAAGCAGTCAGTAGAAATAGACAGGGAATGACAGCTCAGTCATCCTCACTGCTGAACCACGGCTACCTACAACAGGGATGGGTAATCTATGGCCTTTGTAAAAGCAAATGGATGGCGGGAGGGCATTGGCATTACATGCAGCAGAAGCATGCAACTGGCAAACTGGTTTAATAAGTCAAGGTTCTTGGCTTATCATGACATAGAAAGAGCCCGCTGGATCAGGCCAGTGGCCCATTTAGTTCAGCATCCTGTTCTCACAGTGACCAGCCAGAGGCCCACAGAACACCTGCAAGCAGGACCTGAGCGCAAAAGCCCTCTCCCCATGTGTGATTCCCAGCAGCTGGTATTCCAGGAGCTACCACCTCCAACCCTGGAGGTACAGCATAGCCATTGTGAGCCAGTAGCCGCCAACAACTTAATCCTCCATGCATTTGTCTAAGCCTATTTTTAAGCCACCCAAGTTGGTGGCCCTCACCAGTAGTGTAACGTGGGTTGCCAGCACCTGGAGCCAGGCGGAGGGGCGGGCGGGCGGGAAACGGACAGAGTACGCATGTGCTTTCAACTGGCTAAGGCGTCATCCAGGAAATGATAGCCACAGAGCTAAGAAAAGAGTTGTTGCGTTGTCAGGAGAGGCCACTTCCTGGTTTGCATAAGGAAGCCATTTTCAATGGATCCCAGTGACGAAAGCATGCAGCTGTATTGAGGTAGCAGCGGGTGTCGAAATTTTGCACCCCTAACAAATTTTGCATCTGGGGCAAGCACCCCTGTCACCCCCATGCTACGCCACTGGCCCTCACTACCTCTTGTGGGAGTAAAATCCATAGTTTTAACTTGTAGCCATGAGCCATGTCAAGAGGTACTGTCCTCTGTCTTGGGCTGGGCATTCCATAGCTGTGGGGCCACGAGAGAAGAGGCCTTGTCCTGTTCCCCATCAACCTTCCAGCTCTTACTGGCAGGCCAGAGAGCAGATTCAGAGCTGAATAATCTGAGCTCAGGTATAGAACCTATTCTGAGTGCCAAGGCTCAGCCTTTAACAGGTGGAACAGAACATCCCCTGAGTACATGCAGTGTAATTTCCCAGTGGGGCTCCATACTTCTGTTATATATTGAACATCACACCTGATTATCTTATTAGTTTGCTTTGAACCATATTTTGAGTTGTGCTCCCTTATTTATTGTATAACTGATGATGATATCTGGCTACACAATAAAGGTTTGGGCTACAGTCCCAGTTGCTGCTTTCTTTACCTGGTTGGCGACATCTTGCCATTGAACTGCAGCCACAAATATCTGAACTGCGTCAGAATTGCCTGTCTTAGGAGAGCGCTCACTCTGATGCTTCCGGCATCCTTCCTCATCTCACCATTGAAGTCCGCCTCCAGCAACACAAGGTCCTTTCTGCCGGAGTGAAGGCAAAAGGATCCATTGAGACCATTCCTGCTGTATCGGTTTGTGGTGGCGTGGGCCTAAGCGCAGGGAAAAAACAAAACAAGCACTCCATGGGTCAACCGGGGTGCAGCCCGACCAAGGATAAGTCCCATCCTCCCCCACCCCAAATCTCAAAGCCAAATCTGTCAATTTTTTTGTTTCCCTCAGTTTCTCTTGTTTTCCAAACTTACATTACATTCTCCACATTTTCACATCAGCTTGCAATTTAAAAAAGAAACACTTCAATGAAATTCACCAGCATTTTAGTGTGAATTTTTCCCAGTACATACATTTTTATTGCAATTTTACCCAACATTCATGCAGAGGGCAGGTTGAGATCTAGTATTCATACACTACAGGTGGGTAGATTTCTATGGAACATAAGTTTCTCATGGGCAGGCTGGCCCTGAGCAGGAGGGGAGACAAGATGGCCTCCAAGCCCCTCTCATTCTGTGATTCTTAGGATTCTGTTACTTTGTCTTCACCCCAGATCAGAATCTGAGCTGGAGAAAACCCTGAAGACTGACAACTCCAGGATCACTTCAACAAAACAATAGATAGGGGGAAAGAGAGGAGAAGACTTAATGTAAATTGCTGCTCTGCTGTCAGGGAATATGAATTTTGGTACCTGAAAACTTGGAGGAAAGTTTGATTGATTCAAGTGAGAAAATTGTGAATAAATTCCAAACCCAGTCTTGGTTCCATTCAGCCAAGCTGTAAACTGTTGATACAGAAGAGGGGAGTACATTCAGACACAGGGAATATTATGTTAGCTTTCTTGATTATACTTCTACCACTTCCGTCCCATTTTCTAAAGCTCCTTTCGTGCTGCAGTATCTGTTGGGTTATGGAGTTGTGGCTTTCTGACTGATATACTGGCACATCATGCTAAATTTCATTGACACCAGTGGGCATGATGTGACATGGCAATGGACATCGTTGGACAACATTGCTGCTCCCCCTTTCAGCACATGCGTGCTTCTGTTCCAACCTCGCCCTTGGGTTAATAGAAGGTTCCAACCATGGATAGTATTGGCTGCAATCATAATTACAGAGGGTAGGTTAAAATGGACAAATGTCTACATTGCAATGACTTGGAAAAATGTCTGCCTGGAGACAGTTCTGCCAATATTTGTTCGTCCCACACTTTCCAGTGCATTTTCCTCTCTCTTTCCTGGTGTCTGGGATTTTTTTAAAAAGTGGATTTGTTGCCTTTCTCAACATTGGGTGCCCAGATGTTTTTGAATCACATCTCCCATCATCCCTGACCACTTCCTATGCTGGCTAGGAATGATAGGAGTTGTCGTCAAACAACATCTAGGGACCCAAGGCTGAGAAAGTCTGGTCTAGAGGTCCTCTTAGTTACATAAAAGGCTAGTACGAAACCTGACCTGCGAAGTATCCTGTTGGTCGATAGTAGCTGTTATTGTCACACCGGATGCAAAATCAGCCAGTCCAGCTTCTCTTGCAAAGAGCTCCCCCCTCATAGCAACCGACTGTGGAAACTTGAGCTAGTAGGAAGGAAACGCAACAAGTTATCCCTTTCTTCAGATTAGCAGAAGATGTTCTGACTCATCTTGCATGACTTTACTGCAGGCCACATTATAGTCTCCCCCAGGTTCTCCATTTGGAAGCCGTGGTTATTAAAGAAGTTAAAGTTTGTTGCCAGGCAAGTAGCATGGCTACTTATGCATTGCAATAAAGAGACGTTACATGAAAAATTGCATATGCTAATTCATATGTATGGATGCTTGTTTGAGAGATATGGGCTGTATTCAATTCTCAGAGCACATCATTGAACATTACTAACAGGTCCATTAATTTCTATGGGTCTACTCTGAGTAGGATAAGCACCAGCTTCAACCCAATCACTATCATTTGAATAGAAATGCATCTCACTCTAACGGAGAAGATTGTGACTGGACGAGCCTTGCTCAGACTGCTGTGCAAGTGCTAACTCTTGGATTGGTGACTTCAAAGCATCTCCTGCTCTCCCTTCTCAGGTTTCCTTGATTGTTAAACTGGGCTTGAACCAGACAACCCTTCAAATGGAGGCCTGACCACTGTAAAGGAGGACACACAGCCACCCTATAGACATGTCATAATGCAGACACAACCCTATGGTCCTCTGTGCTCATGGAAGCTCCACGGATATCACTGGGGTCTGAGCAACGGGGATTGCAAGATCTGCTTCCGCACTGTAGCTGCACATAATACAATATGCTGGTGGTTGACTGGATGATAGCAGTTTTGGCCAACCTATTGCCTTCCAGATGTTTGGACTAAGCCACCATCAGCCCCAGTCTGGTGCTGTAGAGAGCTGTAGATCAAAACATCTGGATTTTAGATTGGCAAGCATAAGCTGGTTTTTAATTTAATTAAATTCTTAAATTTATATCCTGTCCATCGTTCCACAGAAGCCCACAGCTGGATATATTTTTAAAAAAACCCCAGGTATCCTGATGAGAATAGAAAGAAATGAAACACAGCGAGCGACCTATACATTATTTGCCAAAACCCTCAGAAGTTAAATGGGATGGAGACAGGCAAAGAGAAGGTGGTGCCTCTTCTCTAAAAGGTAAGTACCTGGAATGCATGTGTCATATCCATTTGTACCAGGTGTTGGGAATCAGCCATGCTAGATTGGTTCTGATATTTGCCCAGGAAGCTGAGAGCCTCTTTCCTGTTGACCTTTAGGGTCACTTCGATCTCCCGTTTCACCTGTGGGTTGATATAATGAGTATTTAAAAGTGCCAGATCAGCAAAGCAGCACCTTTGTCTAAATCTGGAGAGACTGTCTACAGATCTAATGCATCAGAGACCATAACTTTGGTTAGGAGGGCTGGCAGCAGGATTTGTCAAGCAAGTGAGCAATGGCCAAACTGAGGACAGGAAGCAGCAGCATCTACTTCATGTGAGCTCTCTGGATGGTTGTGCTAGTAGAGCGAGGGGTGGTGAGAAGGTCTTCAAACCACCCTCAGCACCCTTAACAGACTACTGTTCCCATGATTCTTTGGGGGAAACCACAACTCTTTAAAGTGGTATAAAGGTAAAGGGACCCCTGACCATTAGGTCCAGTCGTGGCTGACTCTGGGGTTGCGGCGCTCATCTCACTTTACTGGCCGAGGGAGCCGGCGTACAGCTTCCGGGTCATGTGGCCAGCATGACTAAGCCACTTCTGGCGAACCAGAGCATCTCACGGAAACGGTGTTTACCTTCCCGCCGGAGCGGTACCTATTTATCTACTTGCACTTTGACGTGCTTTCGAACTGCTAGGTTGGCAGGAGCAGGGACCGAGAAACGGGAGCTCACCCCGTCGCGGGGATTCAAACCGCCAACCTTCTGATCGGCAAGTCCTAGGCTCTGTGCTTTAACCCACAACGCCACCAGCATCCACTTAAAGTGGTATATAAGTGCTTTAAATGTACAGTGTGGACATGGCCATAAAACCAGGGTTGTAGCCAGAATGTCTTCATAATCTCCCCTGAGGCGACTTTATGCATAATGAATCATTCCCTCAATCTCATCAAACTTACTTACATAGCTGAGATTTCGTGTTATGGCGCAAACTTCTATATTTTTGGGGAAGAAGTTGCTGTTGTATGGATGCGTCAATCCAGCACAAACCTGGAGATGGGTGCAGGGTTGGGAAGAAGACCAAAAAAACAAAACCAAAACCAAAGAAACTTTACACAGATGCATAGCTTATTTCATGGCTGCTTTGCTATTGAAAAGGTTATGGGGGGTGGGGGTGGGCTGGTCAGGCAGATGGTTTCGTAAATTTCACTCACATGCGGATTTTCAGCTTGGTAGCTGAGTGTGAGAGTTTGAACAGACTCTTCAAGCTCGTTGATCAAAACTTTTGTTTCCAAGAAATAATGCTTCTCCTTTTTGTTCAGAGTGAAGGTTTCTTGGAGGAGAAAGCTTTGCGGGATGGGCAGTTTAAACGGGTGCCTGGGATGTGAATAAAATAAGTAAGGAACTTTCAGTTGAAACACAGAAGATGGGAAACCTCACCCTGAATTTCCTTCGGCTCAAGCTGCTACAATGCAATAACGCCCTATGTAAATATTACAGTGCTTCCCAGTAAATATATTATCATGTCACATTAGTTCAGTTAATAAAATGCACCATTGTCTAATCTGGATTATTTTAACAGTAGCACAACCTTCTGGTTGCCTCTAAACCAGTGTTTAGAATTGCAAGGGAAGAGGGCAAAGAAAGTCAGGATAGGGTTGTCCAAACGAAAAAAGCTTTTAGCAGACACCAAAGACATTACACTTAAAGCATCTGCTTAATATAAATGAGCAGGGAGTTCCAGAGAGCAGGTGCTGTCTTACTGAAGGAGCAATTCCTTGCAAGTATATATTTGCATTGACGTTTACTGTGTTGATTGAGAGAGGTGAAATATCTTTTTGTTTTCTTTACCCAAATGGAGAATATGAATGGAGCAGGATGGGTGGGAATTAAAGTACCTGAACAGGACAGTCCCACGTTTTTGGTAGAGCATTTTCTCCTTCTTGACTTCTTCTATCTGTGCCTCAAACTGCAGCACAAGCGGTGGCGGGGTCTTGTGATCCGTCCACAAAACCTGCACAGAAATGTTTGCCTTCCTAGGCTGTGACCAAGAAATCAAATTCAGGCACAGGCACAGAATTGGCGGGTGGGAGAGAGAAAAGTATGCATAAAATGCTGCAAAAAGTGGGCAGTAAAATGCCACTTTGAACCCACAAAGTTTTTGAACATGCAATTAAACATAGGAATACAATTACAAAAAATATAATGACACAGCGCTCGTCTATCCATAATGATCCCTGTACATCAAACTCGTGTGACAAACAATAACTACAGAGGATTGGGGTTCTGGCACATTGCCATTTTGCTTCAGGCAGCGAAACAGGATAGCCCACCCGTGATAGAAAGATGGCAACCACATATGTTGTTAGGGCATCCTCTGGATCTCAGATTAAGGATGTCAGCTATCCAGACCACCAGGATAATCCAAGTGAGTCCCCATCTGCACTACACATGCAAGGCACTAGGATACCACTTTAAACAGCCATGGTTTCCTCCAAAGAATCCTGGGAACTGTAGTTTATTAAGGAGTTCTCCCAGACCTAGAATTTCTAGAGTGCTTTAACGGTCAGTTCCTCTTCCCAGGGAACTGTGGAATTGCAGCTCTCTGAGGGAAATAGGGGTCTCCTAATAATTCTCAGCGCCCATAGCAAATTAGGATTCGCCTGCATTTTAGTGTGCATTTCTATTCACACATAAACTTTGTATGCAATTTTGCCAAATACACTCCTTTGTGTTATGCAAACTGTCCCTTACAATGCATTTGAATGCTATTTTCGCTCACATGAATAACTATGCACACTTTTTATATATATTATTTAACTGGAGAACATCACAAAATTCAGAGATGTGTGAATTTTGAAGGATGGCTGTGTTTCGCTTTGCACATTGCTTTGGGCAATGCGAATATGGTAGATTCACATTGAAATGAAACCCATTTCCCCCCCATCCTTATGGGAAAGTAAGACAAATTTCAAACCACAGCTTTAGCTACACCATACATAATTTTTTGCCCATCTGTCATGTCTCTTATTCCTGTCCTAGACAAAAATGCCCCAATAACAGTAAACAGCCTATAGCTCTGACCATCTTACCACCTCCAGGTGAAAGTAAGCCATCGTCATGTTGAGTTCTTGCTTTGCAGACTTTATACAGAAATGGAGAAACTTTGTCTTTTCGTTATTTTCTAGGCGAATCTCATTCTTTATGTGCTGGTTCCACAGAGACACCACTTCACTTTGGCTGTGCAGAAACCCACTTGCAAAGTAGTTGACTGTAGATGCCTGAAAATTTAGAGTGATGGTTCTGGGTTCTTCTAAGGTTTCTTCTACTAAAGTACAAACAACAGATTGCTGCATTGCAGGCAGTTGGTCTCGATGACCCTCGTGATCCCTTCTAACTCTACAATTCAATGATTCTACCATATCTGATATTTATGACCTATGGACCAAATAAACTAAACTGCCGCTAGGACAATCCCATTTCCAACCTCTCATGGCCATGGAATACAAACATCAGCAGATGATGAAAAAGCATTAGGACAAAGGCAGGGTTGACATGGGAACTAACCTGCAAGTAGGTGGCGGTTGGCGTGTGGATCAGAATTCTCCCTTCCTTCTTGTCATCTCTGTCCTTGCAGAAGACCTCCACAAGTAGGCCCTTGACCACAAAGGCCTTCCCAGCGGTTAATTCAATGGTTGCTAAATAAGCCGAATGCTGGGGCTGGTGTAGCTTGTGAGCGGCAAACAGGTACAGCCAGGGTGTGTCCATGTTGAACGTACCTTACAAAGAACGGAAAGCTGCATCTGTTAATGCTATTCAGTTCTGATCAAATGTGTCTAGATATCAGGCCATCGCTAAATGCTTATCAGTGTGAAAGTAACATCAACAGGAGTTAACTCAGGCCCAAATAAACCTAAATGGCCAATTTCCCCTGGTAGTTCACTATCTGTCCTTTGAAAAAAAGAATGATCGTTCCTCATTTAATAAATGTTTAGTTGTACAGTGGTATCTTGGGTTAAGAATTTAATTCGTTCTGGAGGTCTGTTCTTAACCTGAAACTGTTCTTAACCTGAAGCACCACTTTAGCTAATGGGGCCTCCTGCTGCCGCCGCGCCGCCGGAGCACGATTTCTGTTCTCATCCTGAAGCAAAGTTCTTAACCCGAGGTACTATTTCTGGGTTAGTGGAGTCTGTAACTTGAAGCATATGTAACCTGAAGCGTATGTAACCTGAGGTACCACTGTATCTGTTGCTGAGTCCCCTCTGAACAGGTCTCACCTTTACCTGCCCCACAATTTACATCTTATAGGATGTCAGGTGTAGGGGAGATGAGCATGGCTTGTCTGACATGGAGTTGTGACCTGGGGAGATCACTTCGGTGCTGCTAGTGCAGTTTTTTTACTTCACCCCTCTAGGCACACTCCATTGTCTCTTGAGAAGACGAATGCCAACAACTCTCTCTCCCTCTCTTTTTGTGTGTGTGTGTGTGTGTGTGTGTGTGTGTCTACACAGAATATACACCTTTCTTAAAATGTTCAGAAGTGGCTGCTTTTCTGTTCAGAGCATGCAGAGTATGTTTGCCAATGCCTTTGTTATTATCGTGAGCCGATTCCAACATCTGTTGTTGGAAAAGCAGACTACAAATATTAAAACCAAATATGAAAACAAGCCTTGTGTAGGGTGTGTGTGTGTGTGTTTGTGGATACCTTCCCATTTCTTCAGAGAATGCCTTGATGTCTCTTTCCACTGCAGCCCCACCACAAAAGGGATGCGGTTGTTATAGTGCACTTTGAAGTGGGTGCTTATTTCCGTGGAACTCTGTATGGAACAGGAGTGCTGGAGCTGAGTTCTGTAATCCACTTGCTTTTCGGGCACTTGAATGGTGAACTGGGGGACAAAAAAAGGGGGGCTGCATTTCATACGACAGAAGAGAGACTACCGGCAGTTCAAAGTGAAGCTGCGTACTCATGGTATATACAACAGCGGTGAGCTGGGTGGCATTGTACCGCTATTGTGTATACCAATAGGTACCGCTCCAGCGGGAAGGTAAACGGCGTTTCCGTGCGCTGCTCTGGTTCGCCAGAAGCAGCTTAGTCATGCTGGCCACATGACCCGGAAGCTGTATGCCGGCTCCCTTGGCCAATAAAGCGAGATGAGCACTGCAACCCCAGAGTCGGTCACAACTGGACCTAATGGTCAGGGGTCCCTTTACCTTTACCTTACAGGGTTATAAAGACTAGGACTAGCCACCTGAGAAACAGTTTCTATCCAAATGCAATTTTGGTTTTAAACGCAGTGTAAGGTAGTCTCTATGTGAGTATATTGTATTCAATTATGGGGTATCAGAGTTTTTAGGGGTTAACCAGGCTGGGATAGCTGGGATAGCAGGCTTGTTGGTTTTTGAATGTCTGCTGTAGATTTTTTCAATTTCGTTGTTCTGTATGGGACAATGACAATAAAGATGATCGTATCGTATTAAGGGGACCCGACATGATTTCCTGACATCACATGTGCAACGTCCTGGCAATGTCCTGAGCAATGGTGGTGGTGGCGGGGGGCGGGGGGTTGCACTAAAAAAACATTGAGGGGACCCAAAGAGCCTCAGCCCCCAGGAATTCATGCACATGACTGGGAGACCCTCCATATTCCCTTCCCAGAGCTACAATTCCCAGTTACCTGGGAAGAGGGCTTGACCGTTAAACTACTCTGAATATTGTAGTTCTGCAAGGTAAATAGGGAAGTCTCCTAACAACTCTCTGCACCCTTAACAAACGCCAGCTCCAAACCTCCCAGGACTCTTTGGGGGACGCCATGACTGTTATGTAGGAATAACGGAGACGACAGGAGGTTGAATGCAGGTGAGCTGTGCAGAAGCACGCTGGCAAGCATGCTCCAAGCAAGCTGCCGACTAGCTCTTCAGAGGCTCCTTTTAATAGCAGAAGTCAACAATTGGAAACAGTAGTGAAACCACCCTGAACTTAACATATTTCCATCTAAGCACATTTTCAGCATTAGCAAATACACGTGTCAGCAGGTGCTTCCCTTGAATGTTTTCCCCCGATACTTGATTACGTCTGCGTCCCCCGTCATGCTCCAGCCAAGCGATATGTCTAACAAATTGTGAAAGGACAAAAGATTGGGGGAAAACCCTGTTTTCTAGCCAAGAAGGCAAAAGGTCAGGGAAAGCGGGCGTAAAGCTCCTTGATATACTGCTGCACGTCTGGTGCGAGGTTTTCCTTCACAAAGCGGAGCATTACCGCCACATCTCCCCCTCCTAAATATTTTTGATAGAAGACTGGAAGAAATTCAAAGACTATCTTCAGAAACACTGCAAAATTAAGGAATGTTAGAGTGATGTTGGATTGAAAATAAGTGGTTTCCAGCTGTACAGGTTAAAGTTAAGGATAGATTAAGATTAAAGATTAAGATTAAAGATGTTTAAAGAAATGGAAATTTGATAATAAAAGGGAAAAATTTAAAGCTATATGACATTAAGAGCAAGGATTAGGTTTAAAAAAGTTGAAGTTATATATTTTAACATTTTATTAAATTAAAGATTGGGATTAAAAAGTGGAAAAGAAACTGCTGGACAAATAATGTGGATTGGAATACAAAAGAGGGAGGTATGAGGAAGTCCAGAAAATAAGTAATTTAAAATTGGAAATGGAAAAGAGAGTTTGTTTTTAATTGTTATGTTTTGTGTTTTTATTGTTAAGTTTTGTATTGTTTTTTGTGTGTGTTGTTTTTCTTTTTTCTTTGTTTAAAACCTTAATAAAAAATTACTAAATATTTTTGATAGCTCTCCCCTTCTTTAATTATGTTTAATTCTGCTAATAAAAGGAGCCTCTGCAAAGTTAGCCGGCAGCTTGTCTTGGAGCATGCTTGCCAGCGTGCTTCTGCACAGCTCACCTGCATCCAACCTTCTGTCGTCTCTGTTATTCCTACATGTTCAAAGTGAGATAATAGTGGTTTAAACATATGGTGTGGATGCAACCTTTGAAGATAATATCTGAACAAGAGGACTTATTTCCCACCAGCTACAGAGACATCTCCATCATCTTTAGAGGTTTTCACTGAGGTGCAATTCCTTAGTCATCATCTCAACTGCTGCAACACCACTGGGTCTTTTACTTTTACCTCCATGAAATAGCTAGTCAGAGCTGGACGAGAACTATTTGTAAATGTCTGGCTGACTATCACTCGCCGCTTGTTGTTGATTTCGTCCCAGTGTTTTCCATAGTTCAGCTCTAGTCGGGAATGCAGGCGAGAGACAGTTTCTTCATGACGTAGATCGACCTGCGGAAAAGCAACTCGGGTTTTATAATTGGCACTAAATAATTACTACATTCCTTATAGCAGCCCACTCGTGTCCTCAAATCTTCAGCGGTGACGGGCTTCTCAATCATGCACTGCCAGGAATGGACAGAGGAATCTAAATCAGCCCCGTTTCATTCAGACTGGTGTTCAAATCCTAGCATTCATTCCACCCTGTTTTGTGCAGATATTTTTGAAAGAATGCACAAAAAGTTCGCATTTAAGCTGTATATTTTATTATGTGCATTAATGCACACGTTTCTCCCAAAATTCCTATTTTGCCATGCTTTTCAGTGCATTGCTTTTATAATACACATTTGGCACACATTTAAACCATAAAATACCTATTTTTGTGGGCACTTTCTGTATACCGATGCTGCATTGAAATATCTGGTTGATGGGGAATTGTATTGTGATCTGCAAGCTAGTGCGGGACAGTCAAATTGGAATGGTATGCTGCAAAAAGCAGACTGAACAAATTTCACCTCCATCCCCAACCTTAACAGCTACCCATAGCTGGGTGTGTGTGTGTGCAGATTGTGGAGTGACCTGTACTGTCACATCTCTTACACAATGCCCACATCCTAACCTAGAGCCAACTCCACCCCACTTTTCAGCATCAGGTAAAAGCAGATCTCTGTGGCAGCTGCTAAGTTGTTGAATTCCCTTCTCACAAGAGTGCATCTTGCGTCTTCATTATTTAGTTTCCATGAGGAAGAAATCTGGATTCAGCACCATTTCTCAGGATTCATAATTGTTCTGGTAAATCAGGGGTCAGCAAACTTGTTCAAGCAGGGGGCTGGTCCACTGTCCCTCAGACTTTGTGGGGGACTGAACTATATTTTTTTTGCGGGGGGGGGGGAATGAATGAATCCCTATGCCCCACAAATAACCCAGAGATGCATTTTAAATAAAAGGACACATTCTACTCGTGTAAAAACATGCTGATTCCTGGACCATCTGTGGACCAGATTTAGAAGGCGATTGGGCCGGATCCGGCCCCCGGGCCTTAGTTTGCCTACCCATGCGGTAAATGAACTAAATGCTTTACCTTGTGGTTGTAGGCTAGAATCTGAGTGCAATAGAATTCATGCTCCAAATCTAGCCGGTAGGCATCCTTTGGGACATTCTCCACTTTCAACTTCTGGCCCGTGGTACATTCATGCTGAAGGCTTTTTGCAGCTCCTGCTCCAGGTAAAACACAAATGTACATACAGAGATATTTACTAAATGACATTATTCTGTTTTCACAGCACTCAGGCGCAGTCACTGCTAATAGGGAAGGCAGATGCTACGCTCATGAGGGATGTGTGACTCTGTCCATTCTGGTTTCTTACAGCTTCTCATTTTTCCAGTCTTAAGTTCAGTTCTCCACATAGGTTTGTGAAAATTTATCATGATTCTAATGAAAAGTTCTCCTGATATACACATTTCTATGTGCAATCTTTCCTAACTTACACATTTTTTGCAAACAAATTCCCCTTATATAATGCATTTTTGCATGTGATTTTCAGTAATACATGCATTTTATGCATGGCTTACCCCCAGCATATGAATTTTTATACACATTACTTGGTTGGAGAATTGCATTGCAAAATTCAGAGAAGTGCAAATTTTGAAAGGTGGCTGCATTCTGGTTTGTGAAATTGTTTTGGAAAGTGCAAATTAAGTTAAGTTCACCTTTATGTGTGGACTGAATCAAATTTCTTCCTCATCCCTAAACCTTGCATTAAGAACATAACAGCCCTGCCATATTAAATGAAGGCTCTATCTAGCCCGGCATCCCATTTCCCACAGTAGCCAATCAGATCCTTCTGCACGAGAGCAAGAACAACACTGACAAAGGCAATAAAGCTCAACTTTGTTGTTGTATTAGTACAGTATAAGAACTGAATACCAAACAATCCATATTTAATTTTCAGGGCGCTGGACCAGATGTCCCCTCGCTGTTGCAGAAGAGCAACGATGTGAGATCCAAGAACCCCTGGAATGTGGGTTTCTCCCTCCAGTGAATACTGCTTCAGCTTATCATCTGCTTTCTTCTCCATACACACTAAAGAAACGATAGAAACAGTACCATCAATTGATACCATTGGGAGATCAGATACCTGCAGAAGTGGCTCGCCAGGTGGGAAAGAGTTGCTGCGCCAGTTTCCTGGCAGGTGGGAGGGGGCGGGGAAGGCTGTGAAGTGCAAATGCACAGCAGGATCACCAGACTAGTTCTGCTAATGCGTTTGCACCACCCCTTCCCCCCCCAATAAACAACAATAACCCATCTGCAGGAAAGCAAGCATAGCAAAACACACGTGTCCAGCATGACCATCAGCCAGGAAAAAGGACTAGTGGGCACAGCCCCACTCCCTGGTCAGGTGTTCAATGAACTTGTGAGATGCTCGTATGGACACATAATACCCTCACCGCATCTGTAGGAACTTGATTGTCTAGTTTGGTACTTTGGAACTCCCTGCCTCTTGATATCAGGCAGGTGCTCTCACTGTATTCTTTTCAGCACCTGCTGAAGATATTCTTATTTAGACAAGCCTACTCAGATGTTTGGGATGCGGGTGGCGCTGTGGGTTAAACCACAGAGCCTAGGACTTGCTGATCAGAAGGTCGGCGGTTCGAATCCCCGCGATGGGGTGAGCTCCTGTTGCTCGGTCCCTGCTCCTGCCAACCTAGCAGTTCGAAAGCAGGTCAAAGTGCAAGTAGATAAATAGGTACTCTGGTGGGAAGGTAAACCGTGTTTCCGTGCGCTGCTCTGGTTTGCCAGAAGCGGCTTAGTCATGCTGGCCACATGACCCGGAAGCTGTATGCCGGCTCCCTCGGCCAATAAAGCGAGATGAGTGCCGCAACCCCAGAGTCGGCCACGACTGGACCTAATGGTCAGGGGTCCCTTTACCTTTACCTATACTCAGATGTTTAGAAAGCTAATATGAGTTTTCATTTGTTTTAGTCTATTCTGGTTTGGTTTTTAACTTTCCATATGTTTGAAATTATGGTTGTGAGTTGTTGTTTTTTAAGGGATAATTTTATTGCTTTATCTTTTCCATAAACTGCTTTGAGGTTTATCCTACAATTGAGCAGTATATGCATTTTATTAAATAAAACAAAAAGGCACACACCTCTTGTGATATGCACTGACCTGAAAGGAAAGCAGAGTCCTTCAGTAGATTAATCAAGGATACTGAAAATGCCATCTTCTTCCCAGGCTGTTTTGTGAGATTTCCTGAAAGAACTATGGGGCTCCCATCTCTCAGCAACTTCACTTCCAGGTGGCTTGTGTACCTCTGCTCTGCAGCTGCCGTGTGCAGATCTGTCCTTCCCTGCAAAAAAACACACACCCAATAGGGCATCCTTAAACAGAAAATGTAAGGACATAAGAAGTGCTCAGCTGGAGCAATGCAAAGGCCCACCTAATCATAGAAGCATAGAATTGTAGAGTTGGAAGGAGTTTAAGGAATATTTGAAAAAAATATGTTAATATTTAAATCTTAGAATGGCTTTGGAAGTGGATATAGGCTGTAAGGTTAGAAGTAGAAGATAGGATATTTTAAAATAGTATTATTTGTAAGTGATAAAATGTGAAGTTATTTTAAGTGTGATTAAAAATAAAAAAGATGGTTAGAAATTATGATACATGCAAACTGCTAAAGATGAAGTAAAATGAAAATCAGATAGGTGGGACTTGGGGAAGCCCACTTAACAATGTTTAGAAAAATAAGGATATGATAAGAATTGGTTTGTATTGTTTGTCTTTTCTGTTTGTGTTTTTTATTTGTGTTATAAAATGAATAAACAATTTTTTTTGGGGGGGGGAAGAATTGTAGAGTTGGAAGGAACCCTGATAACCAACCCTCCTGCAATGCAGGAATATCTAGCTGTCTCATTCAGGGATCGAACCTGCAACCTTGGGGTTATCAGCACCATGTTCTAACCAACCAAGTTTAGTCCATCATCCTGTTCTCACAGTGGCCAACTAGATGCCTCTGCGAAACCTGCAAGCGGAACTTGAGTGCAATAGCACTCTTCCCATGTGAGATTCCCAGAAACAGGCATTCAAAGGCATACCACCTTTTGTGAGTGGAGAGGGAACATAGCCAATGGCAAGCAATAGCTGTGGGAAGCATTATAGACCTTGGGACGCAGGTGCCGCTGTGGGTTAAACCACAGAGCCTAGGACTTGCCGATCAGAAGGTCGGCGGTTTGAATCCCCGCGATGGGGTGAGCTCCCGTTGCTCGGCCCCTGCTCCTGCCAACCTAACAGTTCAAAAGCATGCCAAAAAAGTGCAAGTAGATAAATAGGTACCACTCCAGCAGGAAGGTAAATGGCGTTTCCGGGTGCTGCTCTGGTTCGCCAGAAGTGGCTTAGTCATGCTGGCCACATGACCTGGAAGCTGTACGCCGGCTCCCTTGGCCAGTAAGCGAGATGAGCGCCGCAACCCCAGAGTTGGCCACGACTGGACCTAATGGTCAGGGGTCCCTTTACCTTTATATTATAGACCTTAGGAAGGATGTTGCACAATCAAGGCAGACAGCTCTCTGCTCTAGTGAGCAGCTTATCATCTTGTTCCTTTGCCCATGCCATGCTGTGCTCACAATATCCTTGGTTGCAAGAGCACGCTTACCTTGATGTAGTAGATGTTGTCATCATCAACTATCAGTTCCAGATGCCCCACACGTGAATTTCTAGAGGCCTCAATGTTTCCTGATAGATACAGAAGGATGTGTATGTGATTTTTATTTTCTGAATTGTCCATTGATAGCCAGTGTAGTGTAGTGGTTAGAGTGTTGGACTAGGACCTGAAAAACCAGGGTTCAAATCCTTACTTGGCCCAGTATATCTGAAGGAGCATCTCCACCACCATCGTTCAGCCCGGACACTGAGGTCCAGCTCCGAGGGCCTTCTGATTGTTCTCTCACTACGAGAAGAGGATACAGCGAACCAGGCAGAGGGCCTTCTCGGTAGTGGCACCCGTCCTGTGGAACACCCTCCCATCAGATGTCAAGGAAATAAACAACTATCTGACTGAAGACATCTGAAGGCAGCCCTGTTTAGGGAAGTTTTTAATGACTGATGTTTTAATGTATTTTTAATCTTTTGCTGGAAGCCACCCAGAGTAGCTGGGGAAACCCAGCCAGATGGGCAGGGTATAAATAAATTACCGTATTTTTTGCTCTATAACACGCACCAGACCATAACACGCACATAGTTTTTAGAGGAAAACAAGAAAAAAAATATTCTTTTTGTGGTTCATGCTGTGGCCACAGACATGTGATCTGACAGTGAGTTTGGAGTAGCCCAATGCAAAAATCCTGAGGATCCATGTGGATCCATGCTTTGTAATCATGTTCTAAGTGGGGAGGGAAGGAAAAGCACTCAAGGGACAAGGAGCACGCATGGGGTGTGTGGAGAAGGATGCTGCTAATAATGCTATTCAGCGAGCTGAGTGGGGAGGAGAGAGGGACAGAGAGCCTGCTTGCTTTAAAGGAACCAACCGGACAGGAGCCGCTTACACTCGTGTAAGCGGCTCCTCTCCTCTCCCGCTTTGCTCCTTTAAAGAAGCAGGCTCTCTGTCCCTCTCTCCTCCCCACTCAGCGGCTCTTCTCCCACTTTGCTGTTTCAAAGCGAGCCATGGAGGAGGGAAGGAAGGGGAACCATGGATCCTCTGCTCACAACTGCAGCAGATCCCCCCGCCATCCGTAGGCATTCCCTCCATAATACGCACAGACATTTCCCCTTACTTTCTAGGAGGAAAAAAGTGAGTGTTATGGTGCAAAAAATACGGTATTATTACAGTGGTACCTCAGGTTAAGAACTTAATTTGTTCTGGAGGTCCATTCTTAATCTGAAACTGTTCTTAACCTGAGGTACCACTTTAACTAGTGGGGCCTCCCGCCACCGCGCGATTTCTGTTCTCATCCTGAAACAAAGTTCTTAACCTGAGGTACTATTTCTGGGTTAGAAGAGTCTGTAATCTGAAGCGTCTGTAACCTGAAGCCTCTGTAATCAGAGGTACTACTGTATTATTATTATTATTAGTAGTAGTAGTAGTAGTAGTAGTAGTAGTAGTATTCAGCCATGAAGCTCATGAGGGGACCTTGGGGCAGTCATAGTCTCTCAGCCTAGCCTACCTCACAGTGCTGTCATGGGGATAAAATGGAGAGGATTAAGAACCACGTATCCCACCTTAAGCAACATGGAGGAAAGGGGGGATAGATTAGAAATGTAATATTAAACGAATAAATAAAATAATCCACATGCATGAAAGCTGGCATAGTTGCAGGGTACTTTGGGTCCTAGTCACACATTTACCATGGAAGTATGGTGTGCTTCTGGTTACATAAAACACAAACGCGCACACACACACACACACACACACACACACCATTCATCAACCACAGTAGTCCTATCTGTAAAACAGGAATAAATGGTAGATTATCTAAGAGTATTTAACAAATTCTGCAGAATGAATGAAAGGAAAATTTCACGGGATGTGTCAAATCTCAGGTATCATCAGGTGACGGACATTTATGTGAGGACATTATGGAGGGAATAACAGTGCATGAGCCTGTGCTAATTATAATATCCAAGGTAAAATTCACGACCTCTACTCCTAGTGAGCGACCTAAGCCTTACATATACCGTACTCCTCTCACAAAGGGAAAGACAACACATTTTTAAATGGAAGTCAACAGCCTTTTAAGGGGTGGTGGTGAGAATCTTACCATTCACTTGCATTTTTTTCTTGGGGTGGATAAATTCAATTCTGAATTTCTTTTGAGGGATATTCAAATGGAAGTTGATAGCAATCTCCCTTTTCAATTCTGATTTTGGAGTCCCTATAAAGAAATGCAGGCCAGCTTCACTTGGGATCCAGGAACCTTTCTGGGTAGAAAAAGAAGAACTACAATTACCACTACAGCTCTTACTAGTAACACCTGCAGTAGAACTGTTGGGAGTTGGGTACATGGGCAGTTCTTGCACACCTGTGGCTAACTTGCTCTTTCTGGCTTATAGGGGAGGGGTGAGGAATCTGTGGCCCTCCAGATGGCTAACTTAAGCCCATTAATTTCAATGAGTTTATTCTGAGTAGAACTTAGTCAGATACAGCTCACTGTCTGGTCATTCCAGCAACAAGATATTGTTTGAGCCCTTTTTATGTATGGAGGGGAATACTGTATCTGTATTATGGGAAGGAAGCAATGCATTGGTGATGTGTGCGCATCAGCTTTGTTGAGAGAAAATGTGCCTGGTTAAGTGGAGCCTGTGGTGGTGGTGGGGAGAGGTGAGGGGTGCTGCCCTCCCCAAGGTTATGGGGCTCTAGAGAAGGAGAGAGGTCAGGCACCTGATCTGCTATTAATTCAAGCTGGGGTTTGCCAAATAATTTTTCCTAAGGAATTAGAAATTGCCAATTTTTTCTGCAGGAGTTTCAGAAAGATTCATTGTCGAAGCAAACTTTTCCCCGGTAGTTGTGTGTATGGTGTGGTTGCAATTGTTTTGTATGTGATTTTGTAAACTTGCATTAGTATAATATAGAGATACTATTTGGACGTTTTTGGATCCGTTTGTGGTGTAAACTAACTTTGGTCTGATCCAGCAGACTGCGTCTTAACGCCTTATCTTCATTGCCCATGTTATGGCGTTAACAAAAGCAATGTGCTCTTTGTGAGACAATCATAAAACACAATATATAAAGAGGCTATCCTATGAAGCTGCAGTTATGATAGGTAGGTAGCGTTGCCATATTTCAAACTGTGAAAATCCGGATGGAAAAGTTGTTGAGCCTTCTTGGGCAAAAGTGCACTTTTATTTTTATTTTGCCATTTTTGAGCTATTTTTATCAAAAATTGGCAAAAACAGCACTGCCAAGATGGGCTGCCATATGTCCGGATTTTACCGGACATTTGCCCGATTTCTGCCCAGACACTGCTAGATACAGTTGGATTCCGGATATGTCTGGGAAATCCTGGATGTATGGCAACTCTGTAGGTATGCATCTTTCTAATAGTCTCATGCAAACATATGGGTGGTTGTTTTAGTAATTAGTTGAGCTGAGGTCCAGCTCTGAGGGCCTTCTGGTGGTTCCTTCACTGCAAGAAGTGAGGTTACAGGGAACCAGGCAGAGGGCCTTCTCGGTAGTGGCGCCTGCCCTGTGGAACACCCTCCCATCAGATGTCAAGGAAATAAACAGCTATCTGACTTTTAAAAGACAACTGAAGGTGGCCCTGTTTAGGGAAGTTTTTAATGTCTGACGCTGCATTGTTTTTAATATTCGGTTGGAAGCCACCCAGAGTGGCTGGGGAAACCCAGCCAGATGGGCGGGGTATAAATAATAAATTATTATATAGTTGGGATTTATTTATAAATAGCACTTTCCTTTCAAGTTCTATGGGGCATTATATTGTAGCTTTATATCAGGACCGCTATGGCAAGGGGGCGGTGTCCCCTGCCTCTACTCCCCTCCCCCACTTTGCCAATTCTCAAGGACACAGGCCCTTCTTCTCTGCAGTTGCCACTACATTCTGCCCCATCTCATCGCACCAGTGAAAACATGCGCCGGCCCTTGCAGCCTGATCATTGCATGTAGAAGGAATGAGTAATACATATCCAGATTGAAGGGCAGTGTCTGAACCTGAGAAATATAATTATATGCAGCTTTCATTAAGTACTGGTACAGGCTTCGGTCTTGCTTCTTTAACGTTATGGCAAATTTTGCTAGTCCGGGAAACGGAAGAATGAAACCGCTGGTCTCATCATCAGGGGTAGAGATCTCGGAGCACAGTTGCCAGCCCAATGCCTTCGACACTGGTTGAAAGAGGGGTGGGAAGGGGGGGTGGGTAAAAGGAAGAGAATCCAAGAAAGGAGAAAGGCTGTTTTTAGGAAACTGCATTGTCAACCAATCAGTCATTTAATAATAATAATAATAATAATCATAATCATAATAATCATAATAAATTTTTTTATTTATATCCCGCCCTCCCCTCTGAGCCAAGCCAGGCTCAGAGAGGCTAACAACAATAAAAGTAACACAGCAGTCTAAAATCAATTCAAAATCAAATTAATGGCATCCATTGGGCTAGAGTTCTGTGAGGATTACCAAAGGAGGGGGTCAGGCTGTGCCTTGCAGGCCCTGCGGAAAGATGTCAAGTCCCGCATTTAAATAATTTCACATTTAAATCATTTTATGTACTCTCCAATGAAGACTTATCCAGCCCTAGCTCGTGCAGTTTTTTCCTTTGCCACCTTTGTCATCGCTGCTTAGGTGCCACCTTCAAAAATAAAAGTTCTGGTGCTTATCTGACACCTTCCAATACAAAGAATTAATCTGGCTAATTTGTCATGTTCCGGTCTTCTACCAGAACATTAGAAGAGGCCCCCTGGATCAGGCCAGAGCCAGTCTAGTGCAACATCCTGGAGTGGCCAACCGAATGTCTATGGTGAGCCCACAAGCAAAACCTGAGCTCTAAAGTACCCTCTCCACTTTTGATTCCCAGTAGCTGGCCTTGAGAGGCATACTGTCTCTGACTATGCAGGTAGAACACAGCCACAGGGTTAGCAGCTCACCCTCCATGATTCCTTTCACACTTTCATCCTGTACAGGTCTTACTGCTTTCCTGGTTTACGGTCTTCAAACAAAAACATATTGGAGGTCCCGGGCCACAGGGAGGTTAGGCTGGCCTCAACCAGAGCCAGAGCTTTTTTGGCTGTGGCTCCAATCTGGTGGAACGCTCTGTCACAAGAGACTAGGGCCCTGCGGGACTTGACATCTTTCTGCAGGGCCTGCAAGACAGAGCTGCTCCACCAGGCCTCTGGTCAGGGCACAGCCTGACCCCCTCCTTTGGTAATCCTCACAGAACTCTAGCCCAATGGTTGCCATGAATTTGATTCTGAATTGATTTTAAAATGAATTGATTTTAGAATGCTGTGTTACTTTTATTGTTGTTAGCCGCTCTGAGCCCGGCTTCAGCTGGAGAGGGCGGAATAGAAATAAAAATTAATAATAATAATAATAATAATAATAATAATAATAATATTGACTTGTTTTTAATCTTCTCATATATTTTGTTACGGTTGCCTATTTCCATTCATTTTGTGCCACTCAGGACACATTTTTTAATGGAAATATGGGGTGTAAACTTGATAAAGAAAAAGATGAAGCTGGTAAAGGGAATTAGCAGGAGGGAATGGGTTCAGAGGATGCCTGGATAGCTCAGTTGGTAGAGCATGTGACTCTTAATCTCAGGGTTGCCACACATTGGGCAAAAGACTCCTGCATTGCAAGGGGTTGGGCTAGATGATCTTCGTGGTCCCTTTCAACTCTATGCTTTCTAAACTGCATTCATCTCAGGCGTCAGTTTGCCGTAAATCTGTATTCATTATTCCTCATACACACTCTCTGCTGCTAACCCTTGTTTGCAGAATTTCCATTTTCTGCAAGCAAAATTTGGGGGGACGTTTAGCTCCTGAAGGAACGTGCTCCCAACGATAGTTAAGAGCAAGGTGAGAACTGGTTGCTATATATTAGACGTAAATGATAAAAACCTACCTTCCTCACTTGTGCATGATCTAGTCTCGCTATAGCTTGGGAAACCGTGAGCAGTTTCCATTTCATCCACGGTCATTGCATGCAGTTCCGAGCTGTAAAAAAGAAGCAAAGACAGCACAATTCAATCCAAGGAAGACAACATCATGTGGTTATTATTATTATTATTATTATTATTATTATTATTATTATTTACAATGGATTTAAGGAAGGGACAAGAGTTCAGAGGTAGGGCATATGATTTGTATGCAAAAGATCTCAGGTTTGATCCCCAGTTTTAAGAAAAACTAATTTGAAAACAAGAATGGGAAAGAGTGAACTAGGATGGTTGCACTCGTGGAATCTCCAAGCCAGCACTTGGAGTGAAGACCAGAAACATGTTGCATCAGGGCATCCATTAATTAATTTTCCAAAGTTTTCTAGCCTTCACTGGGGGGGGGGGGGGACGACCATACAGAACTCAAATGCAGATATTTGCATGGGAAAGAAAAAAGCATTTAAGAACATTATCATTCAGATTCTTGAATATGAGGACATGGGCATTACTGGTGGACTTTACCTGAAATAAACCATCTCCATAGATTCTTCGGGAGTGTTCAGAAAAACCTTAACCTCTTTCCCCTTTTTCACTTGGACCCCTCCATCAAGGCTGGCTGACGACCTTAATCCAGTTGACCAGCTCAAGCCAGTTTTCCCCAGAGTTCCCACAGTTCCCATTTGGGCAGAAATCTGAAAGACAGCACTACCAAGAAGCACAGGGAGAAACAGGTTGCATGGTCAAGAGCGACATCTTTGTTTTAGGGCTGCATCTGCCCGCTATTCCCTCCTCCCAACATGGGGGAAATCACCCCGTGAGGACTGAGTATGCTCAGCAAGCACAGTGTGCTGACAAAGTGTTGGAGATGAAAAGGGAAGAGGAGAAATGGAATGGCGTTTCTGAGACCCTGGAAAGAAGCACTTGACCATGCAGGGCCCCACTTTTAATGTATGGTAGCAGAATGGATAGAGTTTGCTCCTTGGTTGTGAGCACAGGGGTGTTTTCATCTGCCAAATCCTAGAGGGTATGCTGGTGGACTACCTCTGTAAAAAGTTAGGGCATTGGTTGGTAGGATCAGGTTCAAGGTGCTGGTTTTAACCTTTAAAGCCCTATACGGCCTAGGACCCTTGTACCTACGGGACCGCCTCTCCTGGTATGTCCCACGGAGGACCTTACAGTCTTCAAACAAAAACATCTTGGAGATCCTGGGCCACAGGGGGGTTAGGCTGGCCTCAACCAGAGCCAGGGCTTTTTCGGCTGTGGCCCCGATCTGGTGGAACGCTCTGTCACAAGAGACTAGGGCCCTGTGGGACTTGACATCTTTCCGCAGGGCCTGCAAGACAGAGCTGTTCCACCAGGCCTTTGGACAAGGCACAGTCTGACCCCTTCCTTTGGTAATCCTCACAGAACTCTAGCCCAATGGTTGCCATTAATTTGATTTTGAATTGATTTTAAAATGAATTGATTTTAGAATGTTGTGTTACTTTTATTGTTGTTAGCCGCTCTGAGCCCGGCTTCGGCTGGGGAGGGCGAGATATAAATAAAATTATTTTATTATTATTACCAGATTCTGCCTCTGGACATTACCAGAGACAGCCATGTATATCAACAGGTAAAATCAAGTGTCAGGGACTGGCTGGAGGCAGAGGAGTGGTGAGAGGCACCAGCTGGGGAAACCCCTAGGGAAGCCCTGAAGGAAAAAGGCTGGGAGCCAGGGGATTGGTGGTGGGACGATGATGAGTGGTCAGAGGGAGAAGAGGGAGCAGACTGGGAGGAGGAGGTGTTGGAAGCAGAAGAGGCAACAGGGTTTAGTGAGCAGGAAGGCGCTAGGGCAGAGAGCAGTACAGATTTGGAGGCGGAAGCAGAGGCTGGAGAGGAAGAGGGCCAAGAGGCAGTGATGAGGCAGGCTGCTGAAGAAGCCAGGGGGTCTTGCTCTCCTGCTGCGACCTGCTACCCTCCTCCCTTGTCTCCCAGGACCAGAAGAGGCACGAAGAGGGAGGAGCAGAGACAGACAAGGCGATGGAATCTCAGATTGCTTGAGAGGGACCTGCAGGAGGAGGAGACTTAGGGAAATGTGGGAAGGTGGGGGCCTTTAGTCTGTACTTACAGAGGTGAGATCTACCCTAGGGGATGAGTTGCTTTGCTCATGAGGCCTGGCCTCCTGAGCTGTCTTGTTTCTTTGAATGAAGAGTTAACTTCACAGATGTTGTTTGCGTTATGGCTGCCTGCCCCTGAAACCCACTCCTAGCATCAAGACAGAGGAAATCAAAGTGGTTCCCTAGCCTTTTACAGGCCTTGATCACGGGTCTGCTTCAAAAGCTCCTGGCAAAAAAAGAGCGCTTTAAAGGCAGGTGTATACCTTGGCTTGATATAGCCATTGACGAAAAAATTGCTCCGTTGTCTAAAGTCCATATTGCCTTGGATTGCTGCACTGACTGCTGTGGAAGCATTTAAAGCCAGGAGGACGGGCAAACCCGAGATTGCTGGGAACAGCAGTTCCTCTGTGGCCAAACTCAACCTCTTGTTGAACTGGACTTCTTGCCCCTGTTGGAAATGGTTAAATAAAAACATAAAATGGTAGTGCAATCATATTCATGATGGCTAAGCACTTGTTTATTGGCACAATTACCATCGCCAGTGCTGGCACCGTACAACAGCAAGCCAACAAATGCTTTGGGCCCTACGGGACTATAGTTACATAGACCAGGCATAGGCAAACTGGCCCTCCAGATGTTTTGGGACTACAACTCCCATCATCCCTAGCTGACAGGACCAGTGGTCAGGGATGATGGGAGTTGTAGTCCCAAAAACATCTGGAGGGCCGAGTTTGCCTATGCCTGACATAGACATTTATCACTCACCTTTCCTTCAAGGCAGCATGCATGGCTCTTCAACTAGTGGTGCTGTCAGAGCAGGATATGGGGGCAGATGTTCAGGACCCACACAGCAAAATGGCAGGTAGGTTCCCAAATGCAGCAAGGTGGGTTTACTACATTCTGACATAATCTAAAGAGCCCCTCCCCACCAAAAGACCATCAAGTCCAGTGCTCTATCCCCCTCTCATTGTGTTTTTAAAACTATCCTGTGAGGTAGGGTAGACAGAGATTATGACTGGCTCAGTTTCACTGAATGTCAAGGCTGAGTGGGGATTCAAATCTGGGCTTCCCTGTTTCCAGTATGGACACTCAAACCCAGGTTCGCATAACCTCTTGCCCTGCAGTTGTTATCGGGCTTCAGTTCCCACCATCTCTGACAGAAGCACTGGTTCCAGGGGGCTGAGGTACTCTGGGCCCCCTCAGTAGGTATTTTTAGGGGGCCTGGTCTCCCGATTGTTGGAGCAACATCAGGACATTGTGTGACACCATGTGTGCAACATTGCAATGTTGCACGATGTGATGTTGGGCCGCCTCAATGCGCTTCAGAAAATGGCGCCTCTGGTCTCTGAGCATAGGCCATGCTGGACGGATTTGGATTTGGATTTGGTATCCCGCTTTATCACTACCCGAAGCGGCTAACATTCTCCTTTCCCTTCCTCCCCCACAACAAACACTCTATGAGGTGAGTGAGGCTGAGAGACTTCAGAGAAGTGTGACTGGCCCAAGGTCACCCAGCAGCTGCATGTGGAGGAGCAGAGACGCGAACTCGGTTCCCCAGATTACGAGTCTACCGCTCTTAACCACTACACCACACTGGCTCTCCATGGATGGAGCTGGTGGGATGGTTGGAGCTGGTGGAAGCTGGAGTCAAACATCAATGAAAGCACCAGGCCCCACCGGCCTGCTCCGACCATTCACGATTCCCTTACCTTTAGCAGTTTTACCACCAGTTCCACAAGGTTCAGGTAATAGAGTTTTGCTTGACTTCTCAGATCCCCGCAGTCCAAAACAGCAAGCTCATTCCCAAAGACTTTTATGCTCAGACTACATTTTGGTTTCTTCTTCTTTCCCATCCTTTTGGTGAACTGATGCAGAGGGAAAGAGAAAAGGGGGTGGGGAGTGGTGCGTGTGAAGCAACTACATCAAATAGTGGTAGAAAGTAATTCTGAAACAAACCCCCAAAGTGATCTATTGTTAAAAAGGGATAATAATGCATATGCAAAGGGCCAGAGATCTCGGAATGAGGACTCCGTGTCAGGGCTGAGCCAAAGGCAAGTATCAATACCCACACTGGAGGAATGGCAGATGAAACTGATGGACTATATGGAATTGGCGGAAATGACTGGCAGAATCCGTGACCAGGGAGAAGAGTCGGTGGAAGAAGATTGGAAGAAATTCAAAGATTACCTACAGAAACATTGCAAAAATTAAAGAATGTTAGAATGATGTTGGATAGAAATTAAGTGGTTTCTAGCTGTACAGGCTTTAAAGTTATATACAGATCAAGATTAAGGATCAGGATTAAAAGGTCAAAAGAATGGAAAATTGGCTATTAATAGATAAAAATTTAAGGTTATATGATATTGAGATTAAGGATTGGGATTAAACAGGAGGGAAAGGAATTGCTGGACAAACAAACTAAACTGGAATACAAAAGAGGGAGGTATGAGGAGGTCCAGAAAATAAGTAAATTTAAAAGTAGTGATGAAAAGATGGAATTGTTTTTAACTGTTTTTTCTTTTTTTTTCTTTTTTTTTCTTTCTGTATTTTGTATTGTGTATTTTCCTTTTTACTTTTAAATTCTTGTTTTTATTGATGTGTTTCTTTTTATCTGAAACTTTAATAAATATCTTTAAAAAAACAAAAAACAAAACAAAGGCAAGTATCAAGAGGGAGCAAGGAACTGGAACCAAGGAATAGGCTAAAAACACACCAGTTAGGAAACTGTCATTATTCAGGAAGAGCCCTTGCTTACCTGTATTGCCTCAGTCCAAGAATGACTCAGAGGATTTCCAGCTCAGAAGCCCTACAACCAGAGTCTCCCTTGTTTTCTCAGAGTAAACTACTGCTAAATCAGGCTGTGGCCTTTAATACGAAGAACTTCCTCTCCTCAAGGGCAGAACAAGCCCTGGAGACAAAGCTAAGAAGGCTCAGTGTGAGAAGGAGTGTTGCTGAAGCAATATGTGAAGCATACTCCCATAACGTCCAACCAACCCCAAAAAATGCTCACTAATGGTTCCTTGTCATCCTCAAAAAAAGGTGACAAGTGAGATGCCACAGGGTTCTGTTCTGGGCCTGTTGTTATTCAACGTCTTTATAAACGACTTGGGTGAAGGAATTGAGGGGCTGCTCATCAAATTTACAGAGGACACCAAACTGGGAAGGGTAACTAATGCTGCAGAAGACTGAATCGAGATTCAAGATGACCTTAAAAGATTAGAGAACTAGACCCAAGCTAACAAAATGAATTTCAGTAGGGACAAATGTAAGGTTCTGCACTTAGGCAGGAATAACCAGCAGCACAAAAATGCATCAACAGAAGTATAGTGTCCAGATCAAGGGAAGTAATAGGACCACTCTATTCTGCCTTGGTCAGATCCCATCTCAAGTACTGTGTCCAGTTCTGGGAACCACAATTTAAGAAGCATATGGACAAGCTGGAATGTGTGCAGAGGAGGACGACCAAGATGGAACCAAGCCTTATGAGGAGTGGTTGAGGGAGTTGGATACATTTAGCCTGGAAAAGGGGAGATTGAGAGGAGATATGATAGCCATCTTGAAATATCTAAAGGGCTGTCCCATGGAAGATGGAGCAAGCTTGTTTTCTCCTGCTCTGGAGGGTAGGACTCAAACAAATGGCTTCAAGTTGCAAGAAAGGAGATTCCTACTCAACATCAAGAAGGACTTGCTGAGAGTAAGAGCTGTTTGACATTGGAACAGACTCCCTTGGAAGGTGGTAGACTTTTCAATCTTGGGGGTTTCTAGGCAGAGGTTGGATGGCCATTTGTTACGGATATTTTAGCAAAGATCCCTGCATTTCAGGGAGATGGACTAGATGACCCTTGGGGTCCCTTTCAACTCTCCACTTCTGTGATTCTATGAATATATTCAGCCCAAACTGTCAAAGGAGCTGTCCAAGGTGCCCCCATTTCTAGTGATGTTAGAATTTGCAATAAAACACAATGGAACATTGTGCTGTCTTGCCTTCCTCTGACTCAGAGGACTCCAGCTCAAAAAGCCTGAGTGCAACCAGAATCTCTCTCACTATGTCCAAACAAACAGTTGCTACACCAGGCTGGACCCCTTAAAATGGAGAGCTTCCTCTCTGCAAAAATGGATCTAGCCAAGAACACAGAACTGCAGCTTTTATTTAAAGCTCAGCCTGAGAATGTCTGTTGCTGATGCAATAGTGGTACCTCGGGTTACATACGCCTCGGGTTACATAAACTTCAGGTTACAGACTCCGCTAACCCAGAAATAGTACCTCAGGTTAAGAACTTTGCATCAGGACGAGAACAGAAATCGTGCTCCTGCAGCGTAGTGGCAGCAGGAGGCCCCATTAGCTAAAGTGGTGCTTCAGGTTAAGAACAGTTTCAGGTTAAGAACGGACCTCCGAAATGAATTAAGTACTTAACCCGAGGTACCACTGTATTTGAACTTAGAATATGTTCAGTTTGAATCTTGTGTGGAGCTGTCCGACGTATCATTGTTGCTACTGAGGTTAGCACTCACAACAGAACACTATGGATTCCACATATTAAGTTACCTTTTTGGCTAACTCACTCATCTTATTGTACTGCCCACTTGGGCACTTCTGCTTTTCCTTTCTTGCGCTGGGCTTTCTTTCTTTAGATGATGGATCGTTTCTCTCAAATGTTGGTTTATTCAGAGAAGTCTTGCGTCCTGTCTCAATGGGAGGTTCTGCCTTGTGGAATCTCCCTTTGGCGTCTTCAGCTGGATGGAGGCCAAATAACTTTTGCACGATATCTTCCATGTTCCCTAACCTTATGGCAATCTAAGAAACGACAGATGGTATTTAGAAGGCCATTGATAAGAACATCCCTGCACATTAGCACAAAAGGAAATGCAGTATAGCTTACTGGGTGATCCGGGTCCAATTATTTCTCTCCTAATACAGGCAACTCCCTTTTTATGCAGCGGTTGCATTCTGGGCATTTGCACGTGTCGGTGGAGTGTGCATAAGACCGCCCTTCCCTATTACACCCCGTTATGTCCTGCCCCTGTTATGCCCTCTTCTGGGTTCAAAATGAACCACGCATCAATTGAACACATGCAAAATGAGGGGGGGGGGAAGGACATGTGCAAAATGGTTGCTGCCTGTATATATTTTCCTAAGGGTGTTGTCATGCTGCAGTTCATGTGGCCAACAACAGATGGTGCTACAAATTACACTGGGATTACAAACTGGGCTCTCACAGCTGCTGGGCCATCACAGCAGCATTGGGTGGTGGGGAGGAGGGAACTGGAGATGTTTAAACAGATGAATTTTCTTTTCATAACCAACCACTTATTTGCTAATGTTTTATTGATGTTTTAAATTCTGCTTTATGTATAATTGTCTGGTTTTATTTATATTCGGATATATTTTATGGAAGTGCAAATTGCGAACATTTAAATCTGTCAATAAAAACAAACTATAAACAAATCCTATTCACACAAACTGCTCACAGAATTTAGCTATCAGTATGTTTCGGAGGGGAACTTGCCTCCAGGAGATTGATAGCCCGTCCCAGTGCATGGATGGTCAAATTCATTGCTATTGAGCGTGGGATGAAAGACTCTGGTGAAAAGATGAGCTGGGCCTCGATGTTTGTGCTTGCAGCTGCTGCAAAGTGAAAATGTCAAGATACCTGGTCAGTCAAAAGTTTTGTCACAGTTTGGTTGAGGTGGTTGGCTGTACCCATGGGCTGTCCCACTACAAGGCTGCAGAGTTGGGATACTGCCAGGGAGATAAAGTCCATCATGGCCCCCAAGCCGTCTGCCGGATGATCCATCGATCTCCCGTAGGCACACAGCATCAGCAATTAGCGACATGAGTTTCTAGAAAATATCTTGCCACATTCCAGAGCTCATGCACACTCTATCAGCAGATAATGCACAGCCAAAGTCGCACTCAGGAGAGCATTATTTACAAGTTTATTCAGCGTTGATCAGAACACAGAAAAACATGACTGCCTGCTTTAGTGTCTACGACACAGAGAGAAAACGAAAGCAACAGAAAACATAAACATCCTGTGAACAGGAAATACGCAGACTCTGTGACTCACAGCCTGCTCCCTTTTAAGGTGGAACGGAAATATCCTAACAGTTTGGTTGAGGTGGTTGGCTGTACCCATGGGCTGTCCCACTACAAGGCTGCAGAGTGCCTTTTCTTTTCTTCATTTGCTGGCTTGGGATAGCTCAGTTGGTAGAGCATGAGACTCTTAATCTCAGGGTTGTGGGTTTGAGTCCCAAGTTGGGTGAAAGATTCCTGCATTGCAGGGGGTTGGGACTACATCACCCTTGGGGTCTCTTCCAACTCTACACATCTATGATTCTATTATTCGGATGCTGCTTTAGCCACAAAAACAAAGTTGTGCAAAAATGTTCTAACATGTGTAACCACAGTCCGTCAGTAAAGCAGAATAAGTGCTATGTGAGCTAAATCTTAGAGCAAACAACTATTCCAGTAACCTGCTGAAATATTGCTTTGAGCTTTTTGTAATTTTTCACTATGTTTAAGGAAGTTAATAATTGTTTTCTGTGTGACATTTACTGTACAAATATTATACGAAAATAAAATAAAATTGTCCAGTAGCACCTTAGAGACCAACTAAGTTTGTTCTTGGTATAAGCTTTTGTGTGCATGCACACTTCTTCAGATACGAAGAAGGGCCAGCAGTGCCCTTCAGTTCTCTCTACTGGACAAACAGGCCAGACCCTACGCCAAAGGATAAATGGACACAAATCTGACATCAGGAATCACAAAACAGAGAAGCCAGTAGGAGAACAGTCTCCCAGGACATTCAGTATAGGATCTCAAAGCTGCTGTCTTATTACAAAAGAATATCAGAAATAAACTTGAAAGAGAAGTTGCTGAATTACAACTTACCACTAAACTGAAAGGGACGCAGGTGGCACTGTTGGTTAAACCACAGAGCCTAGCACTTGCTGATCAGAAGGTTGGCAGTTCAAATCCCTGCAACGGGGTGAGCTCCTGTTGCTCGGTCCCTGCTCCTGCCAACCTAGTAGTTCGAAAGCACGTCAAAGTGCAAGTGGATAAATAGGTACCACTCCGGCGGGAAGGTAAACGGCGTTTCCGTGTGCTGCTCTGGTTCTCCAGAAGCGGCTTAGTCTTGCTGGCCACATGACCCGGAAGCTGTACGCCGGCTCCCTCGGCCAATAAAGCGAGATGAGCGCCGCAACCCCAGAGTCGGCCACAACTGGACCTAATGGTCAGGGGTCCCTTTACCTTTACCTTACTAAACTGAAAACTATGGAGAGACGTGGTCTGAATAGAAATATTGGATTCTTGTCTCATTACATATGCTAAAGCTATTTTTGGTCATCTGCATACTATCCCTTGCTTTTTCCTGTAGGACTAATTGCAGTCGTTAACAGTCGTCAACAGGTTTACCATACCCATTGAGCCATCACCCATCTCCTACTACCCTTCTGAGAAAACCCCACCCCACCCTCCCACTATATATAAGGGTCTGGTGATTTCTGTTTCAGTGTATCTGAAGAAGTGTGCATGCACACGAAAACTTATACCCAGAACAAACCTAGCTGGTCTCTAAGGTGCATCAGACCAACACGGTTACCTACCTGAATCAAATATTATACACTTTGTTTCATGCTCAGAAGACTCGTTGTCACGAAACGCGTTAAGGGACCTCTCCCTGGCACACTTTTGAATAAAGAAGCGCTTCAGGAATGTGATGCAAAAAAATAAAATAAGATTGTCTTGCGGTTTGATTTCCACAACACTTTGTACAGGGAAAGCCAGAGGTTTTCTACATAGATTCAGAAACAAGAATTGGCAGGTGGGTCACTGTGTCTTACTGGGAGAGAGACAGGGAGCACTGGTTCGGCTTCACCAGTGCATCTGCAACACACTGATCTCTCCACTGCTTTGCCCCTTCCCCTCCTGGTAGGCATAAGCGACTCACCTGCCAGGGAGCTAGCAAAGCAGGTCTACCTCACCTGTCAGCTTCTTCCAGGACACATTCCAGCCTTGCAGTCAATGAGGGTTTGGGGTGGGGCTGTTGCATAGCTGTCAACTTTTCCCTTTTCATGCACGGAATCCTATTCGGAATAAGGGAATTTCCCTTAAAAAAAGGCAAACGTTGACAGCTATGGGCTGTTGAGTGAGGGGCACAGCCTGGAGGCACTAGAATTGGGAAGAAAGTTAGGCCTACCCACATGCTTGTTTTCATTGTGGAGGGATTTATTTTGTATCCTAATGGGTCTGGGGGTTGAGCTGAACTGTTCAGCTCAGTGATGAGGTTGTTGGCCAACAAAAGAACTTGCTTAAGTGGTCAAATCTGCCAAACAAGTCTGGCTTTGTTACTTATAAGAGCTGGCCAAGTACAGGCCATTTGTTGCCATAGGAGCTAATGGTTGGAGACCCTTCTGGGAAAAGAGCGCTTTTTGAGGAGGAAGAAAGTAATCCCCCTTTGGGGAAGGAGGATTACTTCCCCCCTCCATCCTCCCAGCCTATAGAGAGGGCTAATATAGGTTTATGTGTGAGCAGAGGCTTCAAATAAGAAGCCACATTGAAAATAGAACAACACACAAATTGAGCTGAGACCAAAAGGACTGAGTTGCTCTCTGTCAGGAACTGAAGGTCCTGGTAGTTGCCCTTGATACTTAATGAGGAGCAGAGAAGAAGTGTCTATATTGCAGAACTCTGGGAAGCTTCTGGTTACTTCACTGAAAGGGAAAAGATAAGCCGAATCTTTGGGGTGGGGGAAGCTATGACTGTTTGAAGTGGTATACCACTTATTTAAATGTATAGTGCTGTGCCCTTATGTTTGATCTAGGAATATACTGCGCTGATCTATAACAGTGGGCATCCACAGATATTTTTTTTTGTGGGGAGGGGTTAAAGTAAAAAAAGAGGATGATTTCTCACAAATATCTTTTTGTCCAGGCTTTCCCTGATCCTATTTGATGTATTTGTATCTGCAAATTCCTGTTTTATATGCTTTTATATTGGTTTTAGGTTGTACCATTAACAACAACATTGTACACTGCTTAGAAATGTTTTAAAAATATGAATGGGTTTATCAATACTCATAAATAAATGGATGCATGAGTTAAATAAATGAATGAATTAAATTAAATTTAGAAATGAGAATAATTTGTAATTTTGCCCTATATCTTAGGTTCTATAAATGCTAGAAACCTAATATTTTTCAAAATGAGAGGATCTGGGGATTATCGTTCATCCAAATGCTTGTGGTCTGATCTATAAAGTTAAAATTGAAGGCGTCATTGATCACTCATTCATTGTGAAGTCCATAAGGTACAGATGTTTAAAAACCTACCTGAGTGGAAGGTAACATCTGAATATGAAGAAAACTTCCATGTCTCCCCCTCAAATTCTTTGTCAATGATGTCATTAGGAAGGGAATTTTTAAGATGCTGCTTCAGTGGGTCATCTGTTTCCAGAAGTTCAGAGAGGTGACGCCAGACAAAGGAACCCACTTAAAATCAAATAAGAGACAGGTGTAAACCTAAAGAACAGGTTTGGTTTAGGGAGACATAAGCAAAACCTGCAATGTATTCTCAGATCCTAATAAGAGTTAGGAAACCAGGAAGCTGCTGAATCATTATACTGAATCCTACCATTGTTCCATCCAGCTTAGCATTGCATTGAACCCGCAACCTTCTGCATGCCAAAGCAGATGCCTGACCCACTGAGCTATGGCCCTTCCCTCTCCTTTTGAAGGTTCCACTTCACCCTCCTCCAGGGAGGCCACGTCATACACTCCCTCTTTCCATTTTTCTTCTCCAAGTGGTTCTCAACATCCAATGGCTACTGGGCATGCTCAGCTCTCATTGGGCTGCTGCTTCCCCTGCCGCCCAGGGGTGGGCTATTTTTATTTTATTTTTTACTTTTGCAAACCTCAGAGTTACTCTGGGCACGCCTATACCTTCCTTTTGTTCCTTATTAGTTCCAGCTGGACTACATATCTATTAGTACTCACCACCTGAGTTTTCTATTAGATGTAGTAATCAAGATCTGAACTCCACCATCGACCCAGAGTTCAGGGGCCAGCAGTACGAGTTGTTGTGTTCAGTGGATTACTGGATGCATGAAGCCATCTAGGCCTCTGTCCTTTTTTTCACCTCTTCCGTCTGACCTTGCACACGCAGAGCTTACCCTCTCTGCCATCCTGCTTCTGTTGAAGCACTGCTAATTCATTTAATTACGTACAGTGCTACCTTGGTTCTTGAACTTAATCCATTCCGGGAGTCCATTCGACTCCCGAAACCATTCGAAAATCAAGGTGTGGCTTCTGATTGGCTGCAGGAGCTTCCTGAAGCCAATCAGAAGCCAAGGAAGCCGCGTTGGATGTTCAGCTTCCGGAAAAGGTTCACAAACCGGAACACTTACTTCTGGGTTTGCGGCATTCAGGAGCTGATTTGTTTGAGAGCCAAGCCATTCAGGAACCAAGGTACCACTGTAGTTCCTTGTTGCTACAACTCTGGGCCAGCAAGGAGAGAGTCAGTGCAGGAAGCTAGGGGGAAACAGACAGGATCCCTCACCCGAATTGCCCCTCATTTTCAATAAAGTACACAAGAAAAACCCTTCTCAGAATTCCCTTGGGTAGCTGTGATCAGGCTGAGGCTCAATATTTCAATGGTTGCACCTTACCTTGGCTGGATTTCTCCTCCTGCAAAGTCCATTTAACTTGGTGAAATAATTGTTCACTTGGACATTTCATGGCCATGAGATAAGAAGCTATTCTTATTTCTACATCCTCATTGTAGGCTTGATACAGACGGACTAATGTAGCATGCTAAAAAGGAAGCAAGCAAGCAAAAGAAACAGTTCAGTTCCTCTGGGAAAGGGCCTTCTCTGTGGCAGCCCCTAAGTTTGGTGAATGCTGAAGATGAACCTCTTTACCTTGGCCTTTGACACCTGAGATGTGTGCGTTTTAGGACCCACCTACCACCATCCCTCTTGACTTGCTGCCCCAACCTGGTTCTCAGCCACATTGCGTACATCTTATTTTACCATGATACAGAGGCCAAAAATAGCACAGGAAAGCCAACTGCACGCCACCTACGTTGGCTGCACAAGGAACACGTCGGAAGGCCTCTATGGCAGCCAGTCGGATTTCTGTAGGGTTGCTTTTCAGCATCGCACAGGAACTCAGGACCGGTACAAGACGTGCTGCTGCAAGTCCTGCATTTCCAATTGCTTTTAAAATTAGTTCCCCCTGAAAATTCAAAATGAAGTTGACATAAAGTGCCTTCTTTTAAAAAATCATTTATATCACCCTCTCTCTCCCTAAGCAGATCAGAGCATTGCATAGCTAAAACTGTTGTGGTAAACCATGGGTTCCCCAATTTCAATTAGCTGCAGTTTAATTGTACACCTGAACCCTAAACTGTGTCTAATCTTGCCTACAGTTTATTGTAACAAGCCAGCTTCATACACTGTGGTTTGAAGTTGGCTTCTTTCCAACAAACCATAGTTAAAATTAACCAGAGTTTGTTGGGTTTGGATGATGCTGCAAGCAGCAGTTAAGAATGCAAGGGGAAACCTTGAAAGTCATCGGGACAGAGATGCTGGAGGATGAGCGGAAGAATGAAGAACATGAGCCCTGTAGGAGGCCATGGCTTATCATGGCTGCTATCCAAGACGGAACTTCAAAATCTGAATATTCATCTATTTTCAATAGGTGACGTTTCAGTTCCACTAAGACATGCTGATATAGTGAAAACAGAAATTGATCTTTCAAGTTGCTTTGGAATCACCTACCTGGCTGATACCTACTGACTCATTCAAGGTACATTTTCTCCCCAGGTGTCCCTCCAGAATCCTCATAATGCCCCCAACGGCAGGCTCATGGTCACAGTCATTTCTCGTGGAACAGAAGTGATTTATCAGGGCAGTTATTCCTAAAAAGGCACTCTGTCTCCTTCGTGGTGACTGTAGCAGAGGCTGGAAATATGTATAAACACAGGTTTGTGATTACAGTAAATCAGGGATGGGCAGACTTCAGGCTTGTGAAATCTACTTTAATTCAAAACTCAAGGTCCACCGACTGGATCCAGGTATGAAATAATGGCTCAGGGAACAATGTAGAATGAAGGAAGATGGTGCTTCACACCTAGCTCAAGAATTTCATTATGAAAGAAGGACTCAGGTCCACTGTCCCATCACACAATATCCACTCCTGTTTTCTCCCCAGACCTGTCTTCATCTCAGCAGCTGAATCTGTTATTGCTGTTAAGTAATTGGGAGTGAGAACCTACAGTATTGGCGACCCATCACACATCAGCCAGACTACATGGCTGAAGCTGTCCTTTTTGGTTTTCTCTCCACTTCTCATTTTTCAAAGCTTGAGAGTTCAGTTCCCCACATTTCCACAGCAGTTTGTACATTTAAAAAAATTCTCATGGAAATCCATCAGTGTTTTAGTGCGAATTTCTCATAATATACACAACTTTTGCATGGGATTTTGCCTCTAATGTACACATTTTTACAAAATGCTGCCCCCAATACAATCCTTTGTTGTATGCTGCTTTCACTAATGTGTGAATTTCTATGCACACCTTACACAAGGATATGCATTTCTGTAGATAGGATATAGCTGGAGAAACGCACTTCAAAATTTGGAGAAGTGTGAATTTCAAAAGATGGCTTCGTTTTGGTATGCATATTGTTTCAGAATGTGCAAATCAGGGAGGTTCACCTTTAAATGTGAAGGTGGATTTGGTTTCTTCCCCATCCCTACACTTGCACCTTGTATAAGGTGCCATGCACATCTGTGACAATCCATCATGACAACCAACCAATGGGAACTGCAACAAAATGCTGCAGGGCGAAGCGCTGCTCTTCAGAACTCCAGCCAAGTGTGAATTAAATCGGTCCACCTTTAAATGCAAACATAACTATATTTCTTCCCCATCCCTATCTTCAGTTATCCACCCAAATTCCAAGACCATAGCCAAGGGTGTATGCCCCATTCCATACACATGTATACGGTGCTTCTACAGAAATAGGGACGATTCATAGAATCACAGAATTGTAGAGCTGGAAGGGGTCACAAGGGAATGCAGGAATCTTTCACCCTATGTAGGGCTCAAACCTGCAACCCTGGGACTAAGAGTCTCATGCTCTACAGACTGAGCTATCCAATTTGACTCAGCTAAATTTCACTTCCGTGCTTACAGCCAGAGCATCAATCGTGCCTGCAGTAGGCTCAGGGATGAAGGAGAGGGACCAAAGGAATGATTCCATCTTGTCCTCGTCTACTTCTTCAGAGACGATCATCTCTTTCATCAGGACCACACAGGCTTCGGTGGCGCAGGAGGGGAGAGCATCCACTAGAGGTTGCCTGAAAGGAACCCAAAAAGAAAAGCATATCTGATTTGACCCAAGAGGAACGTTGAAAGTTGCCTTATAATGAGTCCCCACCATTGGTCTATCTAGATCAGTACTGCGCACACAGACTGGCAGCAGCTCTCCAGGGTTTCATGCAAACGTTTCTACCAGCCCTACTTGGAGATACCAGGGATTGAACCTGGAGCTTTTGCAGATGCTCTATGACTGAGCTACAGGATGGAAATAAATATATAGTTTTGAAGTAGCTGTTTTTGCTGCTAGTTGCAGAAACATTGAGTTGCATTCAATTAACTTTTAATCAGAGTAGACACATTGAGATTAGTGGACCTAAGAACATCACAACCCTTAATTCCAATGGGTTTACTCTGAATAAAAGTTAGCTGAACAAATCCCATTGGCTGTTATCTTCTTCCTGAAATCTCTAAGGTGGGTGGGTCCCACGGAATGATCATGGTTCTTCCTTGAGAATGTCACAACTCTTGCTGCTGCTGTTCTTCAACCACTCCTTCACAGCTTGGATGTTGAGTGGATGAATAATTTTTCAGGCCAATTTTCAGCAACCTAGTGTAGTCCACAAACATCTGGAGGGCAAGCCTCATCCCTCCTGGCCATTGGTCATGTGGACTGGAGCTGATGGGAGTTGCAATCCATCAACACTGAAAGATCACCAGAGTCTTGATGGCTGTGTAAATCATATGCAGTTCTGTGTCCCTTCTTAGATCTTCTTTTTGCCAATGGATAAATGACTGCCTCAGGCAACACAAAATACTAAATACACAGGGGTGGTACGAGTTGTAGTCAACTGGAGGGCACCAGGGATGGACAGCCTGGGTGAAAGGGGCAGAAAAGCTTTTGGAGTTCAGAGCTGGCAAATCTACCCAGACCAAACGGCCATTTTGAAGCTGTCTTACCAGTTGCCTTGACACTTCGATGAAGATCCCTGCCACAGGCTCAGCAAGGCACCAGCAGAGAGAAGCCGAAGTTCAAACACCAATGCCATGAACAGGTTGGCAGACTAGAAGGAAAGGAGGACAGAAATCTGCTTCACATGTCTGATCAACTGAACTGGTTGTCTTCAGCTCCGAAACCATCACCAAAGCTTTCAGGATCTCTGCCGGAGATGGTGGCATGGATTTTCTTATATAATTTTATTTGGTTTTACAAATTAAAGGCTACATTCAAAGTCTTAAGTAAAAAAAAGGTAAGTAAACAAAGAATTATGGTGCTGGAGGAGACTCTTGAGAGTCCCATGGGCTGCAAGAAGATCAAACCTATCCATTCTTAAGGAAATCAGCCCTGAGTGCTCACTGGAAGGACAGATCCTGAAGCTGAGGCTCCAATACTTTGGTCACCTCATGAGAAGAGAAGACTCCCTGGAAAAGACCCTGGAAAGATGGAGGGCACAAGGAGAAGGGGACGGCAGAGGACGAGATGGTTGGATAGTGTTCTCAAAGCTACCAGCATGAGTTTGACCAAACTGCGGGAGGCAGTGGAAGACAGGAGTGCCTGGCGTGCTCTGGTCCATCGGGTCATGAAGAGTCAGACACGACTAAACAACTAAACAACAACAACAAACAAAGTTTCACCCGAATCTCTGGACTTCCTCCCACCCTTTCGTGGGTTCCATCTCTAGTCCTTTTCCGCTGCATATTTAAAGTCACTCCCATTTTTTAAGTATCCCATATAACCCTAGTTCTTGTTACACTATAAGTGTTATTCAAATCCTGCAAAAGTGTTCAATTGTTTACAGTGGACTCCAAGGTGAATTATGATTCCCCTGCCCCCATCATGCATGGATTTTCATCTTGTCTGAGTCGGAGGGGCATAGCTTTCGATAGACCAAGATGTTGTTTTGCTACTAGTATGCATCCAGTTATAGGAGGTTGTGTTGTGGTGTGCCTATTGTATATATTGGGATATATATTTCTATGGTCCACCTAATCTTGTGATTGTAATTTGTTGTAATTTTTTATATATTTTAAATTGTTGTGGCTCACCCTAGAACCTTGAGGTGAAGGGCAGACTATTAAAACAACAACAACATAAATAATAGAATTGTTAGGTTGGAAAGGACCCCAAGGGTCATCCAGTCTAAGCCCCTGCAAAGCAGGAATGTATATAGTGATTGGTAGGTGTTTTGTATGATTAAAAATGGTAGACTGTATTAATGTTTATACTTTTAAATGTATTGTAAGCCACATGCCTTTGTATAATAAGCGACTAAGTAGACAGTCAAATAACTACCATCTGGAGCTCAGTACCACAAATGAAATGTGGAAAAAGCTAAGAAGCATGCAAAGCAAGAGGGTTTCTTCCTGAAATACTTTTGAACACGGAAAGCAATTGAAGAACAAGAATATGGCCTTCCAGACATGCAACCAACATAACCACCGAAACCCCAACAAGTTGAATGCAAAGAAAACCCCCCTGGTCTCTTGCTACAACAGCGGCAAGAGTCTTGTTAGCACAAGGATGGAAGAAGGAGGAAATCCCAATGAAAGAACAATGGCAAGAAAAATGGAAGAGTTATGCAGAGTTGGCAAAGTTGACACATAAATTACAGGAGAAGGACAATCGTGACTTCAAGGAAGATTGGGAACTTTTTACAAATTACTTTAAAAAACAACAAAATGACTTGGACTCCTTGGCAGGTTTTGAATAAACATCCACAAATTTATTAATTGAATAAATGATAGATAAGGCAATGATATGTACAATTTTTAACATGCAGAGAATAATATGTGCAAATAAATCAGAGAAGAGAGTCTCAGGTGGGGGGGGGAGAGGGAGGGATGGGGAGGAATGAAATGGGGGAAATAATGTAATTTATTATTTGGACTGATAATTTGTTCTGTTGAAATTGCTTAATAAAAAATATTTTTTTAAAAAGAAACCTGGTCTCTGTTCTCAGTCCTAATGCTTTGGGGGATTTTAAAGGTAGCATCTTACAGTAGATTCTTCTAATCATTCTCTTTTACTAATAAAAAATAATTGGGGTGAGTGGGTGGGAAACCTACTTACTACCCTAAATATTTATTTTTCCTCTTCCTTGGCCTGTGGAACCTTTGTAATTCCATCCAAAGTCTAAATGCTGCAATCCACCCAGCTACTCCCTGGAGGGAAGCAGCCATCTAAAAGACTTGCATTTGACATTGGGAAGGCCGTGGGATGAAAGAAAGGACTAATTGAAGAGGTGCTTCTGGCTTATTTCCTGATAAAAAGGATATTGGTTGATATTAAACAGAAGCACTTATTCCCTTCAAAGATCGCTATTTATTGACTGCCAGATGCTAGTGCTTCTAAGTGACGCAGCGTAGGCAGCGTTGGAAATGAGACCAGAAAAATGAATCTAGAACTGCACGTATATGTATAAGGAATTCTGTTCAAGTGTAACTTCCTCCCACCCACCCCTGATGCCCTGGCAAGGATGTTAGCAAAGTGCAGTCAAATTGCTTGCTCTCACTTCCCATTTCAGTGGGAATGGGCAGATCTGTCAAGCTTTGGTTTCTCTGTTTCTTATTTTTAATTCGCATTTCCACATCCACTTGCATAGAGGGGATGTGTGTGTTTTCATGAAAATTCACCAGCATTTTAAGGCAAATTTCTCCCGACACGCACATTTTTAATGCATTCTTCCAAAACAACGACAACAATTGTGCTTATTAAATTTGTATACTGCTCTTCATCTGAAGATCTCAGGGCAGAAAAATGCAAAATGAGAAGACAAATTACAAAATGAAACAAAATAAAAAACAAACCGATAACCCCTCGCCCACAAACACGTTTAAAAAGCCATTAATATAATTTATAATTACAACTGCAAGGTGTAAGAGAATCCTTGGTGGAAGTGCAAAATAAAAGGAGATAAAAGATAAAAGAAGAAAAGTATCTCATTGTGGAGGAGAAGCAAAGAGATGACATGTGACTTCATCAAAGATTCTCCTGATAAAGTGATTAAAACGTCAGGAAGCTGGTGTAAGTTCTTCATTTTGGAGGAAATTTACCAAATTGTTTGCAAGACTGTGCAAGCAAAGGAACATGATAAGAAGACTTTCAACCCCCCAAGTCACAGCTTGTTGCTGTTATTAAAATACTTCGCTTGTAATAGTGCATTTGCCAGGATAATAATGCATTTTTGTAAGTTGTTTTCACTAACATATGCATTGCCTCCCAGCATATCCACTTTTGTACACATTATCTGGCTGCAGAATTGCTTTGCAGAAATTTGGAGAAGTGTGAATTTTGAATGACGGCTGTGTTTCTGTTTGTTTACTGTTTTGCGAAGGAAATAGTCTCACCTTTAAATGCATACTGAATCAAATTTCTTCCCCATCCCTAATCTTCAGATATGAGATACAAGCAATTCTCTTTGATTTCATAGAACCACACCTATGAAAGTAAGGTAAAGGTAAAGGGACTCCTGACCATTAGGTCCAGTCGTGGCTGACTCTGGGGCTGTGGTGCTCATCTCGCTTTATTGGCCGAGGGAGCCGGCGTACAGCTTCTGGGTCATGGGGCCAGAATGACTAAGCCACTTCTGGCAAACCAGAGCAGCGCACGGAAACGCCATTTACCTTGCCGCTGGAGCGGTACCTAGTTATCTACTTGCACTTTGACATGCTTTCGAACTGCTAGGTTGGCAGGAGCAGGGACCGAGCAACAGGAGCTCACCCCGTCATGGGGATTCGAACTGCTGACCTTCTGATCGGCAAGTCCTAGGCTCTGTTGTTTAACCCACAGCACCACCCGCATCCCTCTATGAAAGTACAAGCGATCAATGAACCAATTGCACCAGTTATCTTTAGTTGCTTTTAAGGGTGAAGCCTTAAGAAGACTGGAACCAGTGTTCTTCAAAACTGGAAGCATAAGTCAAAGAGTTTTTGGCAGCACTGGATTTCCCCTTGTTTCTTGAAGGATTTATCAGGCCCTGCTTGGGGTGGAAGCCCAGATGTGTGTTTGGTTGGAAACTCTCCCATTCCAAGCTGGGATCCCCAAGGGTGTCCTGAACTGGGTATGGCAATAATCTAGGTGGGCTGGTCCATGAGTCAGCACCATGGATAGTTCCCAGTGGAGAGGGGACCCGCCATTGGGTGCATTCAAATTAATCAGAAGTGAGATGGATTCACATTAAAGGTGGATGGGGTTTCTTGGATGGCTGTGGGTATTATTTCACTCACTTAAAATTGTGGTTAGGCAGCCTTGTTGTATTTGGGGGCCCACCAGCTTGTTCTACTGAATGGGGCCCTTGACATCTGCCCCCCAGTTCCTACCCTGATGGGACCACTCTGTAGGCTTGTGCTGTCGGAGTAGCGAAAAACAGGAAAGTGCTTTAAAAAGTCTTCCTGAAGTGATTAAGCCGGGAAGGTGTTCCTTTACTACCTTACACAAAGAGTCGGCTTCTTTTATTCATTCATTTATTTATTTTAAAATGGGGGGGGCACGTGGAAAACTCTTGGCAGACCTCATCCAGAGCTGGCTGCAGATCATACCCGCAATTTTGTTGTTCTTGGAAACCACTCCTGAACGCTCCTTTTCCACAAACACTGAGGCGTTTTGTAAGCGAGCAGGGTGTTTACTGAAGAGGCCTGCCTTTGGTAGGAACACACTTAATACCCCTGGGATCGTACAGCATTTTGCAAAGCTTGAGGGTCAGGAACCCAGCGCTTTCCCACTTTTGAACTTGAGCTGATCAAATCAGACCAATTGGTTCAGAATTTTTTGACTCAATGAAAAAAAGAGAGATGCTTCTGTTGAAATATGGTAGGGCTGCCATATGTCCTGATTATCCAGGACATGTCCTAGAATTCACCTCCAAAAATTGCATTGATTATTTTTCGGAAATCTGGCAAACGTCCTGGAAAATTTACTAGGGGTTAAATCGTGCCCAAAATGCTTTTAAAAAGCTCCTGAGCTCAAAAATTCTTGTAGCTTTTACTTTAAAAAGCTAAACAACTTTGGGGTTTGTCTAAATAAAGCTCAATAACTTTGGGGTTTTCCTTTAAAAGGCTCAACAATTTTGGTGGTTTCCTTAAAAACACTCAACAATTTTGGGGTTTCCTGGTTTTTACTTTTTCAAATATGGCAACCTAAATATGGCTCACTTTTATTATCTATTGGGGAGAACAAAGTACAGGAAAATACGAAACCACGCTTTTTGTTCGGAGTGCTTTGAAGCCAGATTGAATTTATTTAATCGTAAACAATCCTAAAAGAGACCAAAGCAATATATTGGTTTTGAATTATTTGTCTATTGCACAAGGGAGACTATTTTGCTGAAGATGTTTACTGTATGATACAAAAGAGATTGACTGCTTGTTGTTGCATAGCAATTGGTGTTATGGTACTGATGTGGATTTTTGTGTTTATACGATTTTTATTTGTATATATGTTTTGTCAAAAAATAATAATGCAAAAAAGAAAAAATGCCCTTGATCAATTGAGCTGCGCCAGGACTGGCTCTGTGTCCCAGATGTTTGCCAGTATTGAAAAGAGTCTGCATGGAAAATGTTGGCTCCAGTACTGATTTTTAACCCTAGTCTGACTAGCTCATATTGCACTGTTTCTTTCCCCCTCTTATACTCTCTCAGGATTGTAAGATACGAGGGGTTGTATCCGAAATTAGTATTATTACAGGTAAACAGGTCACTTTGGACTCTACCCATTTTTGATGGTGCTACTGCAGCTTTTATTAGTCAACAAGTAATTTTACGTCTGCTGATCACCACCTATTTTGTGATCTCTCAAGGATAGAATAATAATAATTGCTACTCTTTGGATGTATGGCTTTGAAAAGTCATGTTTATTGCCATCTATGAAAAGCTGGCCCATGTGCTTTCAGGGGCAACACAGACTCTTCATACTTTGAATCTGTTTGGGAAGTTGTTTGTGATTTATAACACCAAATAATCTCATGGTTGGCACATTCCTACTAAATACGATTTTATCTGGCACATTTATGAAGACTTGATGTATTTTGTGTGAATATGAACCACCAGGGAATATATTTTGCATGTTTTTTTCTTCTTTTTTTTGCTAGCTCTTTTTCGTCTTGCATTTTTATTCTCTTTGCCTTTATGACAGTTTTTGTTGTTGGGCTTTTTTTGTATTTGCAAATCTTGTTAAAAGTAAAATGGAAAAGGAGGAGAGGATGCCATCTTATTTATTTCTATACGATGTTTATGAATATCCCCCAAAGGAACGCAAGGAGATATAGAACTAGGCATGTGGGGGAAAGTCAGTTCAGTTTGCATTTAAAGAAGAATCTGCCTTCCCTCCTGAATCTGACTTCTGGGTCTTTTCCAGCCCTACCTGGGCATGCCAGGGATTTAACCTGGTAACATTTTTTGCCAAGCCTGCACTCTATTGAGGGATGGGCAAACCTGTCCATTTTTTATTCTCTCCATGTCTCAAGTCTTAAGTATCCATATCAGTTTATTGCTTTAAAAAGTCCTCCTGTAAATTCAAAAGCACCTTAGTGTGCCAACTTCTCCTAATGTACACATTTTTGCAGAACAGTTTCCCCTAATAAAATGCAGTCATAAAAATGCTTACAAAATGGGCTTTCTCACTGACATGCAATATAATTATGCACACTCTCCCCTTGTGTATTTGGCAGACATTGCACAGATGGAGAATTGCAGTGCAAAATTCAGAGACTGTTCCAATGCCAAAGGATGGCTCAGTTTTGGTTTACGCATTGTTTCGGAAACTGCAGATCAGGTGGGTCGGCCTTTCAATGAGATCAGAAATGAATTTCCCCTGCATCCTTTGCTCTCTTGCTGAGCTACAGCTCTTCTCTTAGTTGCTGATGTGTCCTTTTGTCTCCTTGAAGGAACAGACAGAATTACCTTTCCCTGTATCAACTGGGTGTCATTTAGATTTTGGAAGGCACCGTTGCTAGTCTTCATATGGTAATTTGTGCATGCCTTTAAAGAGAGGCAAATTATTCATAGCGTGCCTGTTTCGGTCCTGAACAGGCTATCTGCTGTTTTCAGTGCTAAGAGCATGTCCCCCCCCCCCCATATTATGGTGTCGGCTCCAACCCATCCACCCCCCTTTCCTTCATTCCTATCTCCTTCTCTCCAACCATCTTTTTAAAGACCCCTGGTCCAGGAAGAGGCTGATGGGAAATGTCCACAGCACAGCCTGGGAAAACACATCCTTACTAGCCACGGATAGCCTTATTTGTCCCTTGCATTGTTTTGGCTTTGAATGGGGGCAAGATTATGCGCTACATTCAGGCGACAAAAAACCAGGGATAAATGCCGGGGGCGGGGCGGGGGGGAGAAGCTCCCCGATTCTCATTCAGAGGAGAGGAGGGAAAGCACGCCACTCACCAGGGAGCCTTAGAGAGTTATTTCCAATGCCATTGTGCGAAGGGATTGGATTTAAATGCAGATTAAGCAATGGGGCATTAAGGGGGCAGAAGTGTCCAGGCAGGGCGGGAAGTGGGAAGGAAGAAGCTGTCCAAAAGGGGAGAAAAGGAGGGGTGGGGGTGGGGATGGGGAAATTCTGTTTCAAAGATGGATGGTCTGATGGGTTGACAGTTCTCCAGAATGAAAGCCACTGTGCAGGCAGACAGTTTGGGTTTCCGTCCACTTTGTTGCTGTTTGATTTATTTGGCTGGCCAGCTTTCTCTACAGGTGAATAAGGAAACTCATAGAGTTGTTGGAAGGCACCCCAAAAGGGTCACCTAATCCAATCTGCTGAAATGCAGGAATCACTGAATAAGTGCGGCCCGTAAGAATGTGACCTGTTCAACCACATTGAAATAAAACTGCCATTAAAAACAACAACTCAATTCCGCGTCCTCGGTTACAAAACGAGCAGTGACCTTTGTTGTGTATTTTTAAAAAAATAACATCTGTTTTTCCTTCATTTTGTTACGTTAGTAGAGAAAACAGTTGCAAACCTCAAAAAAAGGAACAAGAAAAATGATGAAAATGAATAACACAGTAAAGGATAAGTGTAAACAATGCACATTTGGATGTGGCATTGTGTTAAATTTCTCAGGCTATGTACAGATAACACTGTCCAGATTGGTGCTTCTGTGCATGTGGTAGTTAATAGAGCAGGCATAGGCAAACGCAGCCCTCCATATGTTTTGAGACTACAATTCCTATCATCCCTGACCACTGGTCCTGTTAGCTAGGGATGGTGGGAGTTGTAGTCCCAAAACATCTGGAGGGCCAAGTTTGCCTATGCCTGTAATAGATTGAGGGCACCATTCACTCTATGCTACACCGTAGACCAGAGGTCGTCAAACTAAGGCCCGCAGGCTGGATACGGCCCACCGGGCTTGTTAATCCAGCCCACAAACCTTGCGGACCCTGCTGCCCACTCGGTCAGTCCCTGAGCTAAACAGGCGCAGCGCAGAAGCCTCACCATGCGGAGACTGACTTCCGTGACGCGGCACAGTTTTTGATTGGCTGCAGGAAGCTCCTGCAGCCAATCAGAAGCCACAGACGCCTCTGGGCGCTGCCCCTTCCTTCCCGCTAAGGTGGCCAAGTGGGAGGAAACGGCCAAGCAGGAAGGAAGCGGCAGTGGCATGGAGGCTGCCTCTGCCGCCCAGGCCAGCGGCTTGGGCTCTCTGCCCCCGAGACAGAGGATGTCGACTCTGCCAAAGACAAGGCAGCATAGGCGGTTGTGGCGTTAGTGGCATGGGGGGGGGCTTTTGGGAGGTGGTGGGTCCAGCCCCCCACAAGGTCTGAGGGACAGTGGACCGGCCCCCTCCTGAACAAGTTTGCTGACCCCTGCTGTAGACTGTATGAATCACCAAGGCAAATGTAGTTAGAGAAGCCTTCAGTGGCAAATGCTACCTTGGGTGTGTGTGTGTGTGTGTGTGTGAGAGAGAGAGAGAGAGAGAGAGAGAGAGAGAGAGAGAGAGAGGGTCTGGTTTGGACAGGTCTATAATGTTTAATACACCTAAATTTGAGTAGTGAAGGCTGCTCAATCTAGACAAAGTCACATGGGCTCCCTAGAGACTAAATATCCTGTTATTCATGTAAGTTTACTAATTGTATAGGACATGTTGTCATTTTTATTTTATGTTCACACGTTTCTGCTTGGCTACAACCTGTATCTACATCTGCGCTCAGTGGGCTGTTGGGTTAGGGTGATTGCCGAGTGTGAGAAAGGGTGTGTTTGTGTATTTAGTTGCCTTATTAATAAATTTCAAAAATACTCTCCAAAGCATTCAACTCCAGCATATGTAAAACAGCTTTGAGGAGTGCCTTTTATGGTTAAGGTAGGAAATAAAATAAACACAAAAGAACTTAGACAAAACCTTTTTTGTTACCAGTGACAATAGCTCTCAGAGGCTGGGCTAACAAAAGAATGTTCATCGGATAACAGGCCAGGAGGGAATGTAACTCAGCACAAGTGACCCTGAATCTGTTTTTCTGATTGGAGCTATGGTCTCTAACAGTGACCTCTCAACCCAGGGACACATAGAGCATTGATGGAAAGCACATATTTATCTTGGGCCCTTTGGAGCCAATACAGGGCTGATTCACATGACACCCTCAACCCAAACACAAATACAATTTGTCTGCAACTAGATTCCGGTTCATGAAAGCTAATGCCATAATACATGATGGCTTTAAAAGAGGCTTGTGCAAATTATTGGACGACAAGGCTATCAATCTTTTTGGGGGAGGGGCAGGGGCAGAGGAAGAGCGCAAGAATTCCATTTCTCACATGCAAGTGCCACTTTTTCAACACCAGCAATAACCAATAACCATGACAAAAAATATATATAATAACTTGCCTCGGAATCCGCTCTAGGATTCATACAAAGCTTCTGTAGTATTTTGGAGACCACCACCACCTCATCCTCCTTTCCCAGCCATCGTGCTGTTTTTTCCCTTTCATATAACAGGCTGCTCTCATAGATATCTTTGGTGTCTACTGCAGAAGTAAAACCAGGCAATGGGGAACAATTGAAACACATAGTCATCATTCTGTGGCCTTAGGAAAACCACCAGAAAGGCAGCTCAGCTCTCAGCTTCCTCCCTTCCCATCATGATTTGCAATATATTACATTACCATACACATTATTATTTTTTGTTAGCATTTGGGAATATTGACAATTTACCATCCCTTTAGTGCAAATTTCTGCTAATCTAAAATACAAAACTGTGATTTCCCACCCACCCCTTTAATGTATGCACTTCTACACATGCTTTATCCAAGGATATGCTTTTCTGTAGACATGACTTGGCTGGAGAACAACAGCATTGCAAAATTCAGAAAAGTGCAAATTTCAAAGAATGGCTGTGTTTTACTTTGCGCATTGTTTACAGAAGTGTGACTTGAGTAGGTTGAGTGGGGTAAAATGAGTCTTATATCCCAAGCAAGGGCAGTTCAAAAAGACTTTTTATTAACTTGTCATTGCTTAGAGGCATTCCCTAATCCAGGGTGGGTAAACATTTTCAACCCCAGAGCCACACTCTCTCTGTGTGTGTGTGTGTGTGTGTCACATGCCAGTGATTGGTGCTGGCACAAAAGTGGACATGCCACACACACACACACACACACACACACACGAAGCTGTGATTTTCCTCCCTCTCTACCCAACCCAAGGTCATGATGGGAATGAAAATCACACCCTCTTTGCTCTTTAGATGATCAACCTGCAGAGAAGAGAGGTCACTTGGCTTGGGGATGGGGCAAATAAACATGGTAACAGGGTCAGGCACCAACCTCTTTCATGTGCTGTGATTTCAGCTTCCGTTCGGAACAGTTTCATTGCCATCCGAGTCTGGGTCTTCACTCCGCTGCCCTTCCTCCCAGGAGATGTAGTGAGATGAGACTCTATACATTGGGATTCTGCCAGGATTCCCTCCTCGAACTTCTGAACACACTCCAGTTTGGAGGATATGAGCTGCTGATCAGGCTAAAACATAGGGATAGAGAGATGATCAAATGTCCACTTAGGCCACATTCACATCATACATTTACAGCACCATGATGCCACTTTAAACAGTCATGGCTTCTCCCAAAGAATTTTGGGAAAGTCATTTGTTAAGGGTGTGGAGACTTGTCAGGAGACACCCCCTTTCTCATCACATAGCTACAGTTCCCAAGGTTTTCCCTGTGAAAAGGGTTTGATTGTTGAATCACTCTAAGAGTTTTAGCTCTGTGAGGGGAACAGGGGCCAACTAATACTCTCAGCACCCTTAACAAACTACACCTCCCAGGATTCATTGTGTGTGTGAGTGCGTGTGTGTGTGAAAACCATGACTGTTTAAAGTGGTATGACAGTGCTTTAAATGCATACTACACATCAGGCCAAACAAGCTGTGTATTCCTCCAAATGTTGTGACGCCATTTCAGTTTGAAAATGTACATTTTAAAATGAAAAGTGTGCACAAGTGTGGAGGGAAACGCATTTCAGGAAAAAAGCGCATACCATTTAAATTGCATTTTAGCTTGTATTTTAAATTGCCCCCCCCCCTATGTTTTTACTGTAATTTTACTGTTGTTAGCCGCCCTGAGCCTGGCTCTGGCCGGGGAGGGCAGGGTGTAAATAAAATTTATTATTATTATTATTATTATTATTATATGTAGATTTTTCATGTAGCTTTACAGAATTATAGAAAACAGGCTGGGACAGGCTTACGATCGGACATTATGTGAAACTTGCACAGAAATAAAAGAGCCTGATCTATTCCTACCTTGATATGAACCATTCCCCATGTGTCTACAGGCTCAACACAGTGAATTGCCTCTTGATAAATAGTTGTTCGTGTTTTTAACACATATAAGTCCTTGAGTAACAACATAGCTAGCTTCTTGAAAGAAATAGTGGAAGAACAAGAGGTTCAACAGTACTTACTGGTGCATTGGGCAAAGCAATGGACCTCAGAGAAGTCATTCCAGAAAACCGGTGAGAACACAGGTTTAAATCTTTCGTCTTCAAAAGGAGAGGCCCTTTCTGCTGATATCTGGTTGGGCATTTCCCCAGGACATCCACCTAATCAACAGTCACAAGACAACAAAAGGGAATTATTTTATTGGGCTCCAAAGTGCATGATAATTTGAACCTACAACCCAACAGAAGGTGCATTGGGTGGGGGGAGAGAGATAGGTCTGCAGTGTCTTAGCCCCTGGAACTCTCCCTCCCACATACATTGGCCTTGCTTTTCCACAAAACCCCCCACAACATTTGCCTGACTAGGATGTGCTTGTCCGGACAGACTCAGCATGGGGATGCAAACTAATGCCCGGGGTCCGGATGCAGCCCAATCACCTTCTAAATCTGGCCCACGGACAGTCTGGGAATCATCGTGTTTTTTACATGAGTAGAATGTGTCCTTTTATTTAAAATGTATCTCTGGGTTATTTGTGGGGGCCTGCCTGGTGTTTTTACATGAGTAGAATGTGTCCTTTTATTTAAAATGCATCTCTGGGTTATTTGTGGGGCATAGGAATTCGTTCATTTCCCCCCAAAAAATATAGTCTGGCCCCCCATAAGGTCTGAGGGACAGTGGACCGGCCCCCTGCTGAAAATGTTTGCTGACCCCTGGGACAGAGAATAGGGAGTTGTGTGTGAGTGTTTGTAGAAACCAACTCGTTCTATAATGGTAAAATTTATATTTGTTGCTTCACCCACTTCTGAGCGAAAGAGCATCTCCATTTCATGGCCAATCCCAGTCTGACTGTGAATGAAATAAGAGAAAACTGCATAGTAATAGTGCTGTGTGTGTGTGTGTGTGTGTGTGTGTATACTGCCCTTCATCCGAAGATTACAGGGCACTTACTTCACAGTATAAAATCATTTGGAAACTATTGCTTCCCATTGGCCTTTGAGACTATACTTTTATCATCTCTGATGGTGACGGTCATTCAGGTAGATGATGAAAGGTGGACATGTGTCATGGTTGTGACCCAATATATGTGGTGCCCAATAATTATTTCTGGCTTGGTTGGACAATAAATGAACAATTAAGTCTGTTCCATAACTATCTATTATTTCTTAATGCTACGAATGACTGGTAATTTGTACTTTCATGGGATGAATTTACTGTATTTCATTGTATAGGCTAATTCACAGAATTAGAACTGTATCAAACAACAGACGTCCCCCCTGTGTTGTCTTATGTGGATGTCATGTTAGGGTTGCTCTGTTAATGTATGTGGATGTGAGTGTGGTGCTATGTGATGTTACGTAGTTCTAAAAGGGGCAAGAATTAGACTAAGGGGGGAGAAGGGCAAGTTGACAGCAAAAGCCCCCCTCCCACTCGACGGGTTGCAAGTAAGAAGGCAAACAGTTGAGGGCTGGCAGAAGGCAGACTGGGGTTGAAGAAGAAGAAGAAGAGTTTGGATTTGATATCCCGCTTTATCACTACCCGAAGGAGTCTCAAAGTGGCTAACATTCTCCTTTCCCTTCCTCCCCCACAACAAACACTCTGTGAGTGAGTGGGGCTGAGAGACTTCAGAGAAGTGTGACTAGCCCAAGGTCACCCAGCAGCTGCATGTGGAGGAGCAAACCCGGTTCCCCAGATTACGAGTCTACTGCTCTTAACTACTACACTACACTGGCTCCCTTCAGTTGGTGGAGCAGTGCACATTTTCCCTAATGAACAAGTCTCCACTGTACAAAATTCACCAATATTTCAGACCAGGAGCATACAGTGGTACCTCGGGTTAAGAACTTAATTTGTTCTGGAGGTCCGTTCTTAACCTGAAACTGTTCTTAACCTGTGGTACCACTTTAGCTAATGGGGCCTACCACTGCCGCCGCGTGATTTCTGTTCTTAACCCGAGGTACTATTTCTGGGTTAACGGAGTCTGTAACCTGAAGCGTCTGTAACCTGAAGCATCTGTAATCTGAGGTACCACTGTATACTGGACCAAGGCAGCTTCGAATGTTCAGAACTGCTCACCTCTTCCACACTGCCATTGGTCGTTGCCACCAAGGATGTCTGAAGAGCACTGAGGATGCCACGCTTGATGTTGAGTGCCCAGATTGGCTCACTCCCTTTGGGGAAAATCTTCAGAATCTTTCCATTATGGTAACAAAACCAAAGGGGATGCTGCTCCAGCGCTTCCCTGTAAAATAGGGAAGGGGAAGGTTTCTTGGTCCCTGCCCCCCTGATGTAAAATAACCACTTGCTTACAAATGATGTACATGAGAAGTCAATGGACCACATCTCCCACTCATTCAGATACTCTAGCTTGGTAGGAAACCAGCCCTTCCTAGGATACTATATTGGGTTGATTCAGGATATTTGTAAATACCTTTTGTGCCAGACGCATCTCTGTGGGGAGGGAGTTCCACAACTTAGGGGCTGCCACAGATAATACCTTCTCATGGGGTCAACCACCCAAACTACTGATCTTAACACCTGTGGGGGTGGGTGCAGTCTTTCCTGTATAGGCCATGTTGCTCCCAAGTTATTTTGCTCCCACAGCGAGGACTCGTTTTTGACAAAGTCTTGTTTTACCTTAAACTTCCATTTTCTTTGTGCAGCCTGTCTTTGGACCCAGCTGTCGTCTTGATCTGGACATCCTGCAACTGGGAACGGCAACGATACTTGTTAAAAGGTTCTTTTCATCGTATGGCTAACTACAAGGGAGAAGGGTTGTGTGTGGGGGAAACGTTGGGATTTTGCAGATTGGTTGAACCTTTGGTGCTGGAGACCAGGAGAACTGGCCCAATTGTGTTGCCCTTTCTCTGATGGAAGGGGGAATTTGGAGCTCTTCACAAGGAGAAATGAGGTAAGAGGGTGTTTCAATGGTTCAGAGAGATAAATAATGTATTGTGTGATGGGCGAATTGCTCTCAACTCTCCTTGAATTTTCCTTGTGACACTCCTTCACTTCATGGGAATGTTGGGATTGTAAAAACACAACCCTTGGAGGTGAGTGGGGCTGCTCCCATCTGTGGAGGTGGGGCCTGGTTCTAGGCAACTATCCTGCACCCTTCTGTTGCTGCCAACTCCTGAGCTGCCTCCTCCCTCAGCTGCCCACAGCACTCCCTGGCCTCCATTGAGATTCTCTGCTCTCTTGGAGGTCAGGGGGAATAGACAACGCCATTGCTCCTTCTTCTGAAGTGACTAAAGGCAAGGAACAAGGGAGAGAGCCCCCTTCCTCCAACCCCAGGTCCCACCAATCAGGCTCCCTATGTTTTTTCTTCCTCTTCCTATTGTACTGGAGCCTGGGGACCAAGCCTCATATTGACAGCACTGCAGCGCTCATGACAGGTTTTCAAACTTCCCAAATCTGAACTTCCACTCCTATAATTGGAGCAGGAGCACAAAACCTTTTGTGCCCCTGTTGGACTTGCCACCACACTCACTTTTAAGACTCTGTGACATCTTGCCAGCACTTCAACAACAGCGGTGCCTTCAAGGGAAATGCCACTCCTTTCTTCGGCCCTTCCTGGAAGGAATGTGTTGGTCGAAGTGGAGTATCTATAGCTGAATCTGGATCCAGTTGGGAGAGGCAGCACATTGATTTCTAGTGGGGAGAGTAAAGTTTTGAGACAACTTTGTTATTGACAGATGGGCACAAAGGTGTGCACAAAAGTGTGCACATGGGGTGTGCTGGGTGTGCCCAGGCACACCCGAATGGTTGTTGTCATTTTTTAATGACACAGGCAGAATTAAAAGGCTGGACTGGATCTGCACTGGAGCTGCAGCTCCTACCAAATGCAAGCAGAAGCTGCAGATCCATCCCAGCCTTTTTCTTCTGCCTGCATCTCTCTCAAACACATAGCCCCACTAAACTTGGTGTGAATATTCCCAATGTGGCAGTGGTGGTCTTCATCAAAGGTTGCATGCCAGGCACCATTTGGATTAAAGATGGCAGACTGAAACATGACTTTGGCATGACTTCACAATCTGGAACATACATAATGGGTCCAAAATAATAAATTACACTATCCATTTTTAACCCCCCCCCCACACAATATATTGGGAGTTCTACAAATTCCCTGGTAGTGTCCCACTAGCTTTTAATGCTATTTTTACCAATATATAAATTTGTATGCAGTTTTTCCACAATAAACACATTTTGTGCACATAATGTGTTTAGAGCACTGCATTGCAAAATTCAGAGGAATGTGAATGTTGAAGGACAATTGTGCTTCAGTTTGCATATTGTTTCCGAAAGGGAAAATTAGGGAACTTCATATTAAGATACAAACTAATTTTCTCTCCCCTCCCTACTCTGAGGTTCTTCTGTATTCATATTATTTATCCAAGAGGCTGAAACTTGCTGGATAATTCCCTGCCCCACCCCCATATAAACTGCCCTGCCACAGTTCAGTACAAAGAATTTGCCTTGTCTACTCACCAGCACATTGAGAGACACAGGACTCTTCATGCTTTGAATTCTCCAGAGTTCCTATAATAACAAACCAAGAATGATTGCAGAAAGGCATTTAGAGAAAACTCTCTGTAGGTTCAGTTGCTGATCCTGCAGCTGTTTATTTACCATAGACCTGAAAAAAAAAAAGCTTAAAAGCAACGTCACATTTACAGGAATTCAGGTTGACACTGTCATCTTGGAGACCACCATGTTTATTTAGCAATAATAATAAATGGATTCTATCCATGAAGAAAATGGCAGTTTTTGTTCTTAAAACCATTTCCTCTGCAGAATGTGCTTTCGGTTTAATCCACACAAGGGTTATATTTCTGACAATTTCAATCTGATTAATATTAACTATGATCCAGTTCCCCTTTTCCCTGAAACCTGGTGATCTTCAGAATACAAAACTCTGCTCAAAAAAATAAGAACGGGTCTTTTTGGCATCCTAGTCTTACAGTGGCCAACCAGATGCCAGTGGGAAAAACACAGGCAGGATCTGAGCGCAAGAGCACTCTCTGCCCTGTGGTTTCCAGCAACTGGTATTCAAATGTGTGCTGCCTTTTGATTACGGAGGCAGAACATATACAGTGGTAACTCGGGTTAAGTACTGAATTCGTTCCGGAGGTCTGTTCTTAACCTGAAACTGTTCTTAACCTGAGGTACCACTTTAGCTAATGGGGCCTCCCACTGCCACCGCGCGATTTCTGTTCTCACCCTGAAGCAAAGTTCTTAACCCGAGGTACTATTTCCGGGTTAGCAGAGTCTGTAACCTGAAGCGTATGTAACCTGAAGCGTATGTAACCCGAGGTACCACTGTACATCATGGCTAGTAGCCACTGGTAGCCTTCACCTCCATGAATTTGTCTAATTCTCTTTTAAAGAGAATTGGTGGCTGTCATTGCCTCTTGTGGGAGTGAGTTCCACAGTTCACGTAGTGCATGAAGGAGTCTTTTATCTGTCCAGAATCCCCCAACAGCTTCACTGGATGTCCCTGAATTCTAACGTTCCGAGAGAAGGAGAAAACTTTTCTCTGTCCGCTTTCTCTATGCCATGCATAATCTTGTAAACTTCTATCATGTCGCCTCTTACTTGCCTTTTCTTTAAACCAGAACACCCCCAAATGTTGCATCCTTTCCTTACAGAGGAGCTGCTCCACACCCTGGATCATTCGGGTTATTCTCTGAAACTTTTCTGACTCTAAAACATCCTTTTTGAGGCCCTGAAGGAAAAACATTCTCCCAAGCAAAGGCATTAAACCAGCCAATGTGCTTTTAATCAAGCCATCTTTCTCCTAATGTTTCAGTTGGGATTCCCTTGGATATTAAACCCAGACGAAACTACCTGTCAGATTCCCTCTCTACCCAACCTTCACACATTGTTGAAGCTTTTGTCTCCAACATCCACCACATACAGGAGTTACCAACCTTTTTGGACTGATAGGCACATTTGCAAACTGGAGAAACATAAGGAGTACAGCCTTTTACACTGACTACAACAGAATGCTGTTTCCAAGCCTCATTTTTTTGAGGGGGGGGGGGATGCAGGAAGTGGGGATGATAACCTGTGGACAGCAGGGACAGCCTTTGAGGGCGCAAGTGTTCACCATGTTGCTGCCCCTCTTGCACAAATCAGACCTGCAACAAAATATTGTTAGGAAAACCTTCTTTAAGAAACAGATAAAAGTTCCTGGAAGCTTTAAAGAGGGTTCCAGAATTTTTCTTTAGTGTGTAGGAATGGCACTCTAGGCTTGATTGGTGTCAGCTGGAGGTGCAAATTAAGGGAGGAATGTCAGGTGTGCGTGCAGGAGCCAGGCCCTGTGACCAATAGGACTTTGCAGGACTGGGGCCTTCCTAAGTTTGTTCTGAAGAGGCAAGGCACGGCCTCACAGGTGAGGCCGATTGGTAACTCACAGCACCTGGTGGCAAGAGCTGGGAAGGGTTATAAGGTCAGTATTTCCCTTCAGCTCTTTGCCACAGCAACACGCTTCCTGCCTTGCTGTGTTTGGCTTCTTGCTTCCTGATCCTCGGACCCTGGACTTCTTGCTTCCTGACCCTCAGAACCTTGGCTTCCTGGCTTCTGAACCCCCGTTCCTGCTCCCACCCGGCCATCTTGCCCCAGGCCCTGACGTCCCCTGCTGAGACATTGATCGCCCGTGAACAGGACCGTGACAAGGAAGTTGCAGGCTGCAATTTCTGCACGATGAAAGCACACACACATGCTGTCAACAGCACGCATGCTGACAACAAGTAAGACAATGTGTGCTGCTGACACTGTGAGTTTTGCTGTCTCAGGATTGTTAATCACTGGACTGAGAATATACCGTGCTGGAGAGATAAAGAAGGAATGTAAATAGCTTGAATACAATAGTAACAGAAATGCTTGTGCAACCAGTCAAGCAATAAAGCTCTTGAAGAAGAGGAGTTTGGATTTGATATCCTGCTTTATCACTACCCAAAGGATTCTCAAAGCGGCTAACATTCTCCTTTCCCTTCCTCCCCCACAACAAACACTCCATGAGGTGAGTGGGGTTGAGAGATTTCAAAGAAGTGTAACTGGCCCAAGGTCACCCAGCAGCTGCATGTAGAGGAGCGGGGAATCGAATACAGTTCACCAGATTACGAGTCTACCGCTCTTAACCACTACACCACACCACACTGGCTCTTGACTGTGGATTTGAATATGACTCCTGTTCTTGTCCTCTGCCTCTGGGGAAAACTCTGCCACAAACAGTAAGAAGTGCTTTTACTGAGGTGCCACCACACAAGCAGAAAAACGTAGCAGAAGAGTGTGGGCGGTAGCCTCTAATAAACATTGCTGTGAAAAGTGCTCCTGTTCAGAGTGCCAGCCAGCCACACCCCATTCTAGGATACCATTGCACCTCCATTTATATTTTCCCTACAGTCGTGTCAGTATTCCATGGCCACTGAGCATGCACTGGTTACATTTTTGCAAAGCAACCGCCCAGCTTAACATTGGGACAAAGAAGAAGAGAGAGACCAGAAATAGAGGCTGAATGAGTATATGTAATTGATCCTTGGAAATGACACGAAATGGGGGTCTGTTCTAATTTCAGAATTCAATTCTGAAGCAGGTAAACTAATAACATGTGTGGCACCCCAGAGCATGTGAAGGCATCTTGCCCTCTCTGCTGTAACTACAGTTGGAGGCTACACATCTAGTGAAAGGCAGCAAGCCCAAATAATGCAATTCCCAGACAAATTTCACAGTAGCCCTGGCAAATTTCGCTTCTCTGCTGTCGTTTATCTTGACATGAGTTTATACTTTAAATTCATCACATTTGCATTTTCCATTTATAAAGAATTAGCTTCCAGTATACAAAACCCCAAAAAACTTAACTCTTGCAGAACAGATTCAAGGGTTTAAGAGATGCAACAAAGTGAGATAGTTTGAAAGGAATTAAATAAATAGACTGTGTTGCCCTGCATTCTTATACATGCCTGCGCAATAGGAAATCCCACTGAGTTCATTGGGACTTACCTGCAGGTAAATAGAAATGGGATTGCCACCTTAAAGTTAAAAGGAACAACACTTCAAAAGTGCTCAGCTGTAAATTACTGTTGTTACTGCAGTAAAATGTCTAAATGTTTCTGTTTGCAAATTCCCCCCTGCTCTGCAAAAAGGGGGAAAAACACCTCTTAGTGACACAACTTTGGTGTGTGCGTGTGTGTGTTTAACTTCCATGCTAATCCTCCCCTCTGCCAAACATCTACCTCTTTTTGGAAACATTGAGATGCTATCAACTCAATCTAGATAGCACCGCCCCACCCCTGTGCACTTTGTTTTATTATTCTAAAAAAAAACCTTACATCACGGCAAGTGACACATTTAGTAGCATATTGAGCTGAGCCCTGAGAGAACAAGCATGTATTTTAACATCCATTTAACTGAGGGTGAGCAAATCTATTTCCTATCATGTTTTTAGTTACAATTCCATTAATCTGCAAAATGCTTAAAGATTGTTTTTTTTTAAAAAACCTATTAAATTACTTATTTGAATGTACATTTTCTCTCTAAATACACACTGAAATGCATGTTTCAATACATTTTAAGCAACTGAGAATGGAGTCACAAATGTCAGACAGACGAAACCTAGTGCACACCCACCCATAAGCGTTCATATAAGAATGTGCAAAGATTAAGTTCCCCAAGCAGCCTTACCTATAGAACAATAAAGCTGGGGTGGGTGGAAAACAAATCACTGATCACCTCACATCTTCTGAATTGGCAGATATGATTTTAGCCAACGCCTGCTACGGATGACGGCTCTCCGTTTTTCCAATCTTAAAATCAACTCTCTGAATTTCTGCAGCATTTTGTGTGTGTGTGTTTCAAAATTCTCATGAAAATTTTAGTGTGAAATTCTCCTCATAAATAGAAAAGATTGTAAGTTGATAGGGTACATGAGGGTCATCTAGTCCAACCCCCTGCAATGCAGGAATCTTTTGCTCAACGTGGGGCTTGAACCCACAACGTCACTTAACAAACCCACCTTTGCAAAGCCTTATAATTCCTTTTTGAATGTCATTTTCACTAATATATTCATTTAGATGCACACTCCACCCAAGTAACACATTTTTTTGTACACATTCCTAGGCTGGAGAACTGCATTGCAAAATTTGGAAAAGTGTGAATTTTGAAGGATGGCTGCGTTTCAGTTTTGAGTATTTGTTTCGGAACGTGTGAATTTGGTGGGTTCACCTTTAAATGACAACTGAATTGAATTCCTTCTCCCCCACTTCTACCACCTGCCAACCTTCCCACCTATGACAAAAAAAAGGGCAGCCTCAACACAATCACATGCCAGGCAAATGAGATCACTTCTCCAAAGCCGCATTTTTGCATTTGACAGAGAGAAAAGGAGGGGTGGGGGGAGAGGAGAGTGAGAGTCGTGGTTTCCAAAGAGATGAAATGGTTAATTTAGTTTCTTCTACTTACGCCTCGATATGCCGGCTGCAAAAATGGAAAGGAAAATGATTATGTGCCGAAACTCC